GCTTCTGCAGCTTTGAGTTTGTTTGAAACAAAGGGAATTATGTAAGTCCTTCACTGTTTGGAGAGTCGCAATCAGACACCTCTGTGCATCCTTAGGGAGCGAGGAATGTTATCCACACAGCTTGTGGCAAGAAACTGCCTGTTCTTGCACTGAAACAAAACAAAAAAAAAAAAAAAAGAAAAGATGTTTGCCCCACTTCTTCAAACATGCAAAGTGTTAATGTTCTCCCTACACCTGTGTGGCTACCACATGCCATCAGCTTCTGTTTTTGTTCCTGTTGTTTTTGTTGCTTTTAATGGGATCAACAGATGGTGGCGCAATGTTTGCTCTGGTCGCCTGAGAAGAATTTCTCTCCACGAAAATTTCCCTCCTTTGTTTTGTTTTGCCATTTGACTCTCAGTCTGACCCTTTTCTGTGACTGCGAGCTCCGGCTGGACGACTCACACATTGCACTGTGTGAAAACAGCTTACAGGGCAAAGCAAAGTGACTGATTGGCCTATCTCTCAGAAGAAAAGAGGATTAGAGTGGCGGTTTTAAGTCTGCGCATGGGTGCACCCTCATTGGACTAAGTGCGCGTGTGTGCGTGCGTGGGTGTATGCGTGTGTGTGTGTGTGTGTGTGCTTGCAGCAGGTACACCCAGGTACATCTATCGTGAGCTTATGCGGATAGTGAGGTAAAGTGAGGGAAGCAAGAAAAACCTCAGTGACTTTAAAAGAACTCTTCATCCCCAGTGACTCAACAGACAGCAGGAAACTTTCCATTTGGACAACATCAGCTGGGATGCTAAAAAGGGTAAGAGAGGCTCAGCCCTAATGCAAGAGAAATTAAACATCACTTGCAAGAATTTTGTCGCCTGAGAACCGCCTCTCCTCGTTATCACTCTTTGAATTAAAGGATAAAAACAAGAACACACTCCACACAGCAGGTATGTAACTTTCTCTTTTATTTAATATTAGAAATAGGACTGGATTAAAGCTCTCAGGGGCAGAATCTAGTAGCTTGTTTAGACATCCATATCACAAGGGGCAAATGACTCTTGTAGCACCTGCAGGTGAATTCAGTGAAGGGTCTGTTTAGGTGTGTTTTTGAAGCTTGGTTAGTTTTCTACTTTTATTTGGTTGATTCGCTTGAGGGAAAAAAAGAGCCTGCCTTTGTTAGTCTCTTGCCTCATGCTCTAAATGAGTATTCATATTTAATGGGCCCAGTCTGTGTTATCTGGTTACCAGACTCAAGTTACATCAGTGAGGATAGGCTCCTCAAGCACACACATCTCTGAAACACTGGAGAATCCAGGATGATGGCTCAGCAGATGTTGATCATTTATTCCCTAACATGTCAAGATTCAAGATATATTTTTGCTGAACTTGACATGGTTGCACATCAAATAGATATGGAAATGAATAATTTAACCTCCAAAAGTGCTACTAGAATCATATCTAAATCACTTTCTAACTATGCTCATATAATTTTGAAAATGTATTTGGCCCTTTTATTAGTTTTTCTGGAGCTTCTGCGTTTATGTTTTTGGCCACCAAACAAATTTCAGTATTAGAAAAAGGTAATCTCAGTAAAAACAAAATGTAGTTTTGTACATTTGAAGAAAACTTATCCAAACCAATCTGATTGATGATCTTCCATATACGTTGTATTCCTATTAATGCGACTCTTTGCTGCATCAACTGCCATCAAGCGTTTTGACATGCTATTGTTTGACATCTTAATGTTTTCTGAACAGGCTGTTGTTGAAAAGGAGAATTTGTTCTCAATCAATTTACATGGTTGAATAAAGGTTAAATGAAATAAATGTCATTTTTGAAAAGTGGATGTAAGTATTTTACATTGCTGCAGGGGGAAGTTTGCAGAATTGTTTTAACTTGAATAGATTGAAGGTTTTGCAACACAAACCTTTAGTTTGCTTTACCCCAAACCATTTGGATTGATTTTATAATACTCGCCCTGCAGATGTCAGTGACTTTTTTTTCCGATAAGTGTGTCGATCTCCCACTTCATGAGCACATCTTCAACAGTGTCAAAACATCAAAGTCAGAATATAATGCATTGCTATAACATACCATCAAGGACTCATCAAAATGACTTAGTAACATACTTTGTTTTCATTTGTACAACGAACTACAATAATACCCCAATATCAAAACTATACAGATTCTAACAATCCTAGCCTGTAGGGTGGACAATCATGATATACCAGCTGATTTTAAATTGAGAACTAAAGCTGCTTTTAATACTTTTGGCCACAAGGTGTCACTGCAGAGGCCTGCGGTGAAAACCTTCCAGAAATGAACGCTTATTTATTATTATTTTTTCAATACAAGCGTCAAAGCTTGAGAACACACAATTAGGTCATAAAACATCGGTTTAGGTTTTAGTATTACTCTTGAGGTTTTGGTTGAGTTGTGTTAGAATACTCTGTCTCCTTTTATGTAAAAACAAGTGATTTTTCCCTCAGCTCTTGCTCAGACCCTGCCCCAGCTGTTCTGCCTCTGTTGATTAGTCTCACCTGCCCCTTGTTTTGCTAATCACCTCTTAAAGAAGTCAGTCACTTTCAGTACCTCCTCCTCAGATTTATCCATTAGCTCCTATGTGGCTTTCTGAAGTGTTTGCTTAGCGACTTCTAAAATCTCTCCACTCTCAATAATATTTCAGTTAAAGGTAATTTCACAATTATGTGGCACTAAAATACATTGCAGCTTGCAGTTGTAATGTGAAACAAGTTCATGTGATATGAATACTCTCAAAAAAAAACTAACTACATGTGATGAGCTGATCCAGGTAAACACTTTTTCAACATTCTATAGAAAAAAGTAAAAAAAAAAAACTATATACATATAATATATTGTCAGTGCAATGCATAGAAAATAACAGTCTAACCATAACACTAATTACATAAATCTGAACTTGCAGTTCTATATGTTCTATCTATGTTTTGTCTCTGTTTGGAAGGGCGTTCTTGCTTTTCATGAGTGAATATCTGTGTCGTGTGAAGATGGGGGCGTATTGGTTGTACCTACGCGTGCACACAAGACATAGCACATAGGCTGCTCATCCGCCCTCACAGAACAGAAAATTAGAAAACGCTCTCCCCAGTAAGTAGGCAAAAAAGAGATCATTACGCTACAATCATTTATTACCTGAGACGGTCACGAAAATGCGTGCCTACACATGCAGATACACTGTGGGGTATAGGAGGGAAAATGCGAAGGAGATGACTGTAACAAAAAAAAAAATAAAATGAGTCACGCCTTTGCATAGGAAGGTCAAGAAGATGGAGGTGAGATGAGAAAATTTTAAATATATATAAAAATCCTGTGCTATGGCAATTTGTAGAACAGCCCAAGAATTTAAGCCAGAGAATATATTATTGCATATGGATACAGATTGGAAGAGTTAAATAACATTTCCTTGGATCTGAAAAGACAAAACATACCTACCTATTTTCAGGGCCTGATTGTGATCTAAATATGTAATCATTCTCTAAACCACCTCCGGCGCTGCATCAGAAGCACCACAACAAAATAATTCACAAGGACGCCGTGATTATTACAAGCTAGAGATACCCAGTGATTGCGAGATATCTAGCATCACACTGTTAGTTCCTGTCATCACATCTAAAATTGAGTTCAAATGATCTATACTGTCACGTTCGTGCTCCGGAGCTTCCTGTCCAGGTGCCTGGGGGGGGTTGTGAGTTTGTTCCAATGAGGACACATCTGCCCAACGGCTCCTACGGAGCAACACAGCAATTGAGCACTTGCTGTCGTATTGCTACACTTCCTGTTGATGTAGAGCACAGTCGACAGGTTTTAATATCCTCGATGCTGTATCTGCTTCCTGCTTGTGCATATTCCCACAGCAGTAGACCTAAATAAATATGCTGTAGGTCTGATTTGTGCCACGCGGGAGGATGACTGGTTGCGAGTTCACGTTGGCATCTAAACTGGGTTGTCTTTTTGAAGACGGGATGCTCTGGGGCCTATTTTGAGACCAGTTTATCCTTCGCGGCGCTCCTTCGCATAACCCAAGCCATCGAATCTTCATAAAAGAGAGGAGATAAAGAATCCATTGTTGCGTTTCAATGAGTGAAAACTGATTTCCTCACAGATTTCTGCCAATGTACAAAATCATATTTATTTGTCTAATAGGCTATAGAGATAATAGCTACGTACTGAAAATAGATTATTCAATCTATGAGTCATCCGTAGTTCTTATCTGTGTTTCTGAATATTTCATGATGGCAGACTCCACTAAAATTAGATTTGCATGTTTTGAAATCATGATGCCTGACATTGTTTTACTTTCAGCTTTTTTTTTTGTAAATATGCAACCACACAACTATGATCATCTTCAGGCTCTCTCAGGGGCCCTGGTTTCTTGACCCCAAACTCATATTTGCATTTGCTCTCCGCTGACTGAACATGACACAGTTTTTGCATTTTGAGGGTTGTGACTTTTTTGTTTGTTTGTTTAATTCTCACTCTGGATTTCACAGTTAACCTACATGGAGCAGTGATGGTCGCCTTTAAACACATTTTCCTCACTGATGTCTTAGGATCGCTTGCGAGGTGGCGCATGCGTGGTTGGCTTGGAGAACCTCGATTAAGTTAACTGGAGTTCGTCAGAGAAGAGCGGAAGTTGATCATTTCTTTCAACTTAAAGCACTTAACGTTGACTAATAAAATACATTTACACTGTGGATAAATATGAAAGCAGTGCAAAAAAAAAATCTTACCTATAATTTATGTAGCACCTCATTTGTCAAAACAATATAATAATAAAATGTAGTGTTTTTTTCTAACAAAGCATTTGGATTAAAAAGTATTTTTTTTGTTGTTGGTCAAAGCCGGTGTGAATTTATTAATAACGAAAATGACGAAAACAATGCCAGGAAAAATTTTTTTTTTAAAAAATTAAAAAAAAAAAAGCATTTTACTTTTGTAATCGTATTCCGGAAGTTGTTCAGTGGTTACGAGCAGTAGTAAAACGAAGACCCCCTTCACGGAAAACTGTGGCAACTGTGGTTTGAAGCTGGAGATGCGAGGTGCAGAAAAACAACGAGAAATGGAGGAAATGGAGAAGCGCGACTGGACAGGAGAGGAACTGCAGAAACCTAAACAATCCGTCATGCTTCGATACTCGAAGGATCGCCGTCTTCGAAAATAAATAATTAAGAAAAAAGAGAGAGAGCGAGAGAGAGACTGGTGTTCTGAGAACTGGGGGGCAGCGGGAGGGGTCGATCATGGGGAACGAAGCGAGCCTGGAAGGAGGCGAAGGGCCGCCGTCTGGTCTGCCGGAGGGGCTGGCACCTGACGGGAAGGGCGGCTTCGTCCGGATCTCCGATGGCTCTCCGGTCAACCTGAAGGAGCTGAGCGAGGAGGAGAGGAGGCGACTGGCCGCGGCGATGTCAAGGGCGCAGGGCAGGCAACCTGGAGCTCCAGCAGCTGCGCGAAGGCAGGGATTGCAAAGCATCATTCAATGCACCCTAGATATCTAAACGGACCGGGCGTTTTGTGTGTGAGGCCTGTGTGTGTGTGTGTGTGTGTGTGTGTGTGTGTGTGTGTGTGTGTGTGTGTGTGTGTGTGTGTGTGTGTGTGTGTGTGTGTGTGTGTGTGTGGTTAAGAAATATGCATGAAGGAGGTTAGAGTCCCATTTACACTCATTTGAATGGCACAAATCGCACAAGAAACCCCAGTTTGTTCCTAGAGTTGATTGTGAGGAGGAGTGATGGGAGTCTCCGCTTAAAATGCATTTTTTTTTTTAAATGTCTGAATCCACAAAATTGGCTGTAAAGTGGGTAAAGTTGCAGCTCGTGGCGGGGTAAATGAATCCACTCGAGTCACCAGAATGGGCCGATTGGATCGGTGGTTCTGTAGTGAGGAGACACACCTCCAGTAGCCTATTTGTGAGAAATGGTCGAAATGCCTGCTGGGTAAGGAAATTTATCGTGTCCAATGTTTTTTTCTCTCTCTCCTTTCTTAGTAATTTTGCATTTTGAACATCTTAAAACTGAACTATATATCATTTGATGGTAAATATCGTGAATGCGTTTCTATTTATCTTAGTACATTTTGCTACAAAAAAAAAAAAAAAAACAATGCAAAATTTTATTAATGGTTTTTACAATGAAGTCTTTCAGCCAGAAGATGCATCTCTGTGCGTATCAGATGAAGTAATGGGCCTCAGTGCTTACCGTCTCCCAACTAGAGAAAAAAAAATACCCGAGCTACAGATTGGGGGGTGGAGAGGGTGCATCAATATTAATACGACTATAAATAGAACAGAGACGTTAATTTGTTTTATTCTGATCGTATTTCCCCAGACCAATTTTGTGTTGTTGATTTTTCGTATTGAATCTCTGCTACATCCCGTGCCGTCCAGGAAACAGGCTTGGCGCTGTCCGAGGTGCTGAATATACTCACTGCGGCGCTTTTTACGCCAATTCTTGTTTTTGTCGACAGAGCCAGCCCCAGGTTTTATGAGGCCCCAAGCAGAATTTCATTGTAGGGCCACCATATAACATCTGAGCACATTTATATTGTCCATGTTTTATCTTTATTATTATTATTATTATTTTGTAATTCTGCTGTTTTTAAATTTTTTTGCCTTCTGAACCCTAAAGAGAGGTAGGAGGTGATGTGAATAATAACAGAAATAAAAAGCTTTTACATGCAGTGATGGAAAATTTTTGTGCAACTTGAGTTGCAACTGATTTTCTTTATTTTAGTAATTAGTAAAGTTGCCTCTTTATTTTTGCCAAAAATAAATTTCTTGAGTGAAAAAGTAGCATGTTTGTCTTACAAATGATTTCAGACTTGGCTTAGAAAGACCTCATGGCGATCCAGACTCAAGTCTTGTGAAGAAAATTCAAGTTGATCAGAGGTGAACATAAGCTGTTAAGTGTAGACCATTTGAGTAAATGATTTACATTGCCTCTAAACTTGTACACTCTTGTGTGTATTTGCAGAAAGGACTAATTGTCATGGTAATGTTACACAAAGTACGTTTTAATTTTGTGCAATACAACCTGCAAGTAAAAGCTTCCTGATTGGTTGATTTTCATTAAGTGCCTGTGTGCGTCTGGCAAACATTTTAAATCAAGTTAGCAAACAACAATCGCTCTGACTTCCATCCAGATGTTATTCTTATCATACATATTTTTAAAACTGAACATTACAAACTGAAAGCTGTTTTAATTCATGATCTCCATATGATTTGAGAAATTCTGCAACTATGGTTATCTGTGCTGGTTTGCATATTAAATGTATATCCAATGTGTATTTAATTAAACTTTTAGTATGATTAATATATTTCCCATATATTTTGGTGAATTTAACTGTTTCACGTTGAATTGAATTTTCCAGGAATGTTGAATGTTACAAGTATTAAACTTAGCCTAACATAATAATTTGTATATATGGCCTGCAACTGGTCATTCAATTGGTCAGTAGACTCTGAGTCCCCACGCCAGGAGGGACCCTAAACATACCCAAAGTTCATTCACCATTCTGACCAACCTTCCTTTATTGGCTGCTACTCATTACAGAAACATACTACTCATGCGTGCTCTGAAAATAATCAGTTATATTCATTGCAACATTAAACTTTACTACCTGAGAATTTTATTTCATTACACCACAGCATCCAAGGACCTTCACTGCAGCAGAAACCAATGCGAGCGTGTATTATAAACATGGACCATCATGCTTTAATCAATGGCAGCCAATTGGTCCATTAGCTTCCACTGATGCACTTCTCTAAAGTTCCACTTCCACTTGGCATGGGCTGCATTCTGTGTTCAGGTTGGGTTTACAGGCCCTCTCACTTTGTCCGAACATGCAGGCTACAGCCGACTGCTTCTCAGTCTCTGTCTAATATCCACGCTCCATTTCATTCACCAGTATTTATGTTTCTGTCAGCTGTTTGTTCCCTAAACCTTTTTCTAGGCCTTATGAGATCAAATGGATTTATATTTGTATCTGCATGATTTTTGGAGGCAACTGAAACAAAATTTTATTAAGGGGTGAATTGGGGTGAATACTTTTTTTCTTATTAAATGTTTTAAATCTTTTCATTTTATTGCACTACTTTGTGTTGTTTGAGCAAATAAAATCCTAGTTAATTTAAAGTTGTATTTTCTGTTTATCTGTTTAATATTGGGTGTAGTTTTTGAGGATGGGAGTTGTCATGGTGAGTGTGAATGAGTCAGCAGAAACAGACATGACTTAACAAATTGCTATTCCTTTTAATGAAGTTTAAATATTAAATGTTGTCATGTCAGATATATAATTTAACCAGCAGCACTATCAACTTGTTTTACTTGTGTGTTGTTTGCATTTCTTTTATACTTGAAAACAAATGGACATAACAATCATTTTGTTTTAATTTTTTTCAGACCTTCAGAATCTGATGCCCACCAGCAGGTAGGAGCCTCCAGAGGCCCTGCAGGTCTAAGTAAAAGTCGAACCGTAGACGCCTTCAACCAGGGTCCACCTGGCCGACCCTCACCAGGCCGCAGCCCCTCGTCTTTAAGCCTCTTTGAATCCAAATTCCGGCAGGAGCCAAAAGGCCCAGAGACTAAATCGTCCAGCATGTTTGGCTCCAGCTTCCTCAGCGGGGCCAATCCCCTCAGCGCCATGTCGTCAATGACGTCCTCCATCTCATCTATGGGCGACGCTGTCAACATTCCCAAGTTTGGACTGTTCGGGGACGAGGAGGAGGGCGATGCGACGGCAAAAGTGGAGAACAAGCAGGGAGGGAAGCCACCTGGGAAGGCCCTCAGCAGGGTCAAGGACCAAAAGGACCACAGCAGGCAGGACCCCTTAAGCCAGGTCAAGGCCCCCCTGGACAGGCACCAAGGCAAGGTCAGGGTGCACCTGGTCAGGGACCGAGATCAGGTCCTTCAGGGCAAGGACCATCTGGTCAGGGGCCAAAATCTGGTCAAGGTCCTCCTGGCCCAGGACCAAGGCAAAGTCAGGGGCCCAAATCAGATCAAGGTCCCTCTGGTCCGGCTCCCAGGCAAAGTCAAGGGCAGCCAGCACCTAGACCAGATCAGGGTGGAGCTCAGCAGCAAAAAGGTGGCCCACCACAACAAGGACCTGGAAAACCTGGACCAAAAGCTCAAGGGCAGCAAGGCCCCATGCCAGCAAAGGGTTCAGGGGCCCCAGGGCAGCAGGCAGCTGGAAAGCCTGCAGGTGGACTCTGTCCGCTGTGTAAAACCACCCAGCTCAACACTGGATCTAAAGAGCCACCCAATTACAACACCTGCACCGAGTGCAAGAACCAGGTCTGCAGCCTGTGTGGCTTCAGCCCACCAGACTCAGCGGTAAGACCCTGACAGCTTTTCTATCTCTTGTTGCATTTTTCTTAAAATTAAAAAAAATTTTTCAAATGGTTAAAGATGTCCTAACCAATTAGCTAAAGTGAGATAATTTTATGATTTTTGTCTACATGTTGAGCCGGGTGCTTTTCAGTTCTCAAAAGGTCACAGATAATAATACCACCACAGATTTCATAATGCATTACACACAGGAGTGAGCGATGCCATGCATTTAGAAAAGGCATTGATTTTATTCTGGCATTTCTCTTTGAAGAAAAAAAAACATTACTGACATTGTGGTTTGCATTACATGCTGAACGCAAGAATAAGACCCCAAAAAGGTACAAAATGTATCATTTTGATTCATTTTGATTATCAAATCATGAATCATATTTATTTGCCAATATTGAGTAAACAAACAAGGAATCTGGTTTTCAATCGCTCACAGTATTCAGACATAAAGATGCAAAACTTTGAGGAGAGATTATGAATATAAAAGAACAATATGTGCACATATCTGTAGTCATTTTTATTATAGTCATCATTGTTAGAAAGTACCAAGTTCTAAAATAAAAAAAAGCTGAAATTTTTTTTTATTAAGGATATACATATACACACACACACACATAAAAAAAAACATTGACCAGAGACTGCAATTTTAATATTTTTTCTTAATTATCTCTGCTTCAAATGTTAAACACTTTAAAATGTGTAGTTCTGCTCTTTTGATCATTCTGAAAGGTTAGAAATGTTTTTTACTCATGAAGGGCAATAATCTTTAATTTATTTTGTATTTCAAAATTGAAATCTCAGTTGTGGAACTAGTGACACGTTCTTTTGTGTGTGTGTGTGTGTGTGTGTGTGTGTGTGTGTGTGTGTGTGTGTGTGTGTGTGTGTGTGTGTGTGTGTGTGTGTGTGTGTGTGTGTGCGTGTGTGTATGTGTGTGTGTTAGAGGGGAGAGAAAAATCAGATTCAGTCAGACCTCAAAGGAAAAATTAATTCAGTAAGTGCAAAAAAAAAAAAAAAAAGCCAGACTAGGGCATGTCTAATATATGTTACAAATTGTACAAATGGATCATTCACATAAAAACTGGTTATGATGCTCAATTCAAAACTACAGCAGAGTCCAGTATATCGGTCCTGCCTGATTGAAAAGAGAACATGTCGCTTACAAGAGCAACACACATGATCTGGGAAACAGAGTGACCATATGGACTTGGGGAATGTTGATCAAGGTGACTCATATCATGGCCACAGGAAGGAACTCTGCCAGCAAGTGACGACATTCAATCACACATGAACTGTAAATGCTGATTGGTCAGGAGTAAACCTACTTTTGTAGAACTATTCTTTAAGAAATTCTTTTTTTTGCTTTTTAAGACGTCAAACGGTTAAAGATGTCCTAACATCTTTAACCATACGAGTAGCAAATAGTTATGCACACATTGTTCTTTTTCTAGATGGTGATCAGACAGTCAACAGCTGGCTCTTTTAACACTGTGCTTGGCACACTGTGGAAACCAAAAGAGACAGCCAAACACTGAACAAAAGGCTCTGGCCTCCATTATTTTTTGGGACAGGTGTTTGAGTTTGTAACGGTAAACACTATGAAAGCCAACTATGTTAAAACTAATATTTACTAGAACAAGCAACTGCTGTTCTGATTAATTATGGAACTGTTGCGGATGTTGGATTATGTTTTTTTGAAGATGGAAAATGTTTACTTTAAGACAGAATCAAACATAATTGGAAACCCTGATTTTATAAGTGAGCTGTATTTACAAAGCACTTTTCACTGAGTGGAATGTCGCATAAAGATTTATGCTGAAAACTAAACTCAGAAGAGTAGACAAAAAGGATGCAATAAAAAACTGAACGTCAATAAACATAGTAATTGGTGGTTTGTATCTGACTAATTGAATGCCTGCTTAAAAAAATATCTTCAACTGAGCTTAATCAAGGTAAGGAGAATATTAGGAAATTTTACAATTTATAGATGTTATGAGTTCAAATGAGCAATCACCTCGAATCCAAAAATTTGTTTCTGGAACCACAAGTGGTAACTTTCTGGCTGACCTTCAAAAACTGTAGTTCAATGAATTTTATGACCACAAACATCAATGTGACAAACCTGAATTCATTTAATTAAGTTGTGGTTCGTTTCTTGGGGACCGAGATGAAGGAGGGAACCTCACACAGCTCCAGAGACCTGTTAAATCTGAGGATGTGGGCGAGTTGGTCAGCGCCGAGTTTCAGGCAGGATCAGGAAAGCTTTCCTGGTCTTGTAACACTGAATTGGCCTGTTTACACCTTCCTCTGTGCAGGCAGGAAGTCACGGGGGTGCGGAGCGAGTTGTGGAGTTGTTCTTTTGAAAAGATATATGAATAGGTTTGCAAGGCACTGTATAAACATGAACATACCACTTCCTCTCACAACAGTTTTTATGTGATTTAATTATATCTTATCATGGTTGCATGTTTTACACCAAACCCTTCGGGGTTATAGCTCGATGCAACTATCCCAGGTTTTTTATTCCTGATCCTCTGCAATTGGTGTTTCACTCTTCCTGCCCATTGTCTTGTCAAGCTACTAATGAACACATCTGACTTGTCTTCTTTTCATTTGCAGGGTAAAGAGTGGCTATGCCTGAACTGTCAGATGCAGCGAGCAATGGGAGGAATGGATCCTCCTGGCATGTCAAAGCCCATGCAAGGCTCTGGTCCACCCTCACCTCAACGAGGGGGCAAGCCTGGAAAGCTGCTGATAAAGCAACAGAGCACCTCCGACCAAGGGCTGACACCACCAACAACACCAAGGCAAAAATCCCCAGGCTCCTCATCTCCTGGACCTCTTTCTCCAGGCTCCTCATTGGCAGGGTCACCCAAGATTGACCCCAAAACAGGGCGTCCCATTCAGCAGAAGTCCAGCCCTCAGCAGTCTCCTGCTAAAGCCAAACAAGAATCGAGTTTCTTTGGGGGTCTGGGCAGCATCAGTTTAGGAGGGTTGACCGATTCGGCTAAACCCCCCGTAGCGGCTGCACAAGCGGCGGAATCAGTTACGGGGAAACTATTCAGTGGGTTTGGTGGATTGATGGAGTCATCAAAGCCTCCCGCACAGGCTGCGCCAAAACAAGAAGAATCTGTGGCTGGAAAGCTGTTTGGGGGTCTGGGAGGGCTGACTGAATCAGCGAAGCCTCCTGCTGCTGCATCTCAAATGTTCAGCTTCGGCTCATCGCTTCTGAGCTCAGCCACCACTCTTGTCTCTGGAGAGGAAACCAAAGCACCCGAGTCTCCGCCTGGGTCACCTGACTCTGGACCAGGATCTCCTCCTGACTCTCCTTTCTCTGCACCTGGCTCTCCACCAGATTCCGACTCTGCTCCAGACACCCCGCCTGCCAGGTCCAGAGAGGCCCCCAGACAGGCAGCTGCAGAGCAGGCAGAGACGACCATCGCGGCTAAGACTGCTCAGTCTGAAACTTCTGTTGCCAAGGAAAACTGCCCTCTCTGTAACTTGAAGCTCAACATTGGATCGTCAGATGCCCCCAACTACAGTGTGTGCACTGAGTGCAAGAAGAACGTGTGCAATCTGTGTGGATTTAATCCTAATCCTCATTTAGGAGAGGTAAGGAAAGCTATTTATTACTTTATCCATCTTAATTACGCCTTTTGCTTTTTAAACAAAGTACATATTCTTGTTGTTTTTCTGTGTTGTTGCTTGTAGACATGTCAGTCCTTTGGGTGTTTCATGAAAATTGCTCACTACAGAGATGGAATTAGATGTTTCCAGGGATTCATTTTCCACATGAGCATCTTCCAAAACTTTTAATAAACGCTTTGAATTGCTTTTCATAGGATAGAATGATTTTTCAACTAAAACCTAAACATTTTCAAAACTAAAACTGAATTTACTTCGAGATTATGCACACAGACTCAGATACCACTACTGATTTTTGTTGATTTTCAACAAAAATTTTTGGATTTTTGTTGTTTGTTGGTTATCGATGTTTTAGATGAGCAAAATAATTTCTAAGATACAAATGAAAAAAAAAGTCATATTTGTACTAAATTAATATTCCATGTACCTTTATGTATGCTAATTCCAATTCTACTTTGCTGCTTGAGGTTCAGGTTTAATATTATAACATGCATATGTGTGTTGACGGGCAGTGTTCACAATCAATCATTTAAGTTTGGTAAGTGGCAGGTTGTGGTTGTTGCTTGCTTCGATTTATTTTTGTCTTTAGGTAATCTGCTGGATGTTTATAGCTCTCCTGGAATTCTTTTGTAACAGGAAGTAGAACTAAAACAGAATTAAAACCTTTATTATTTCCATCCAGCCTTTGGTTTTTTTGAGGGCAGGTGGTTCACCTTTTAAAATTAGGTTGTTTAGCATGTCTTTGTCAAATCAACCTGCTTCTTGAAAATGTCACATGCTTGCTTTTTTTTTTTTTCACCAATACCAATAATTGGTAAACTCATGTCTCTTTCAAACTTAAATAGAAATCTTTTTTGTTAGGTATTCTGCCATTGAAGCTTAATTTTTGTTTTTTCAGCCATCTTTGAAAATTCTTCAGTGTGGAAAATTTAGAAAATTTTCAAAAATAATCACAGGCTATAATCTTTCCGTTATGAGAATTATTTTTGTCAAATCCCTGGCACAATTATTGATACTCAAACCATTTTTCATTTCATTTCCTGCATTAGTTTAAATGTTTAATATCTGCAATTTGACTTTCTGGTTTGCTGGACATTTAAGGCCTATTTTTCCAGCTCAGTGTTGTAGAACTGTATCAAGCAGCGGATAACAAAGTCTCTAAGACGACCTTTAGATTCTTGTTTCATGCATTACTTGAGTGACAGAAGAATGTTTTCTCTTCAAGCATCACAAGTGTTAACCTGTAATGTTTCTTAAAATCTGCTGCCATGTGTAGTAGGGAGTTTTGAGAAAATCAAGGACCTAGCCTGAAAATTTGACAAAGGGTGTGAGCAGAGCATACACCAGTTTGACTGACAGTAGTAAGGCTCTGATTTGATTTTTTTTTCTTTTTCCAAGAATTATCTATCTGATATTGTACTGTCAGGACAAAGTTGCAGTTTTAACAAAATAAGATTAAGATTGGGCATTTTGATAACAAACATGGTGGGTCTGGTATAAAAAATGGACCATTCAGATGCCCACTGTTAAGCATGGCTGGCTGTCTGTGATGCTGAGGGCTAGTTTCTCTTCCAAAGACCCAAGGGCCTCCAAAAAGGTCCAGCACTTTATGTAGGTGTACTTCAGATTGGAATAATTAAGACTAGTTTTTAAAAACATATATATTTATATCTACTTAAACGTAGACAGTTCATCTTACTTAACTCTAACCTTTATCATGTCATTTTCTCTTTGAACTCAGAGGATATTTTGCTTTACCACCATAGAAGAATCTTTCATGTTACAAACTGTGTTTACAACATTCATTCCTCACAAGTCCACTCTGTTCAGATTGGTTAACTCCAGATGGGCATCCAAACTTCATAAAGCTTTTCATCATCGGCCATCCGTTTACCTATGACACAGCTGAACCTCGAGGTGCATTTTTAAATCCAACTTGGGAAAAAAATGAATAGCACACAGAATGTTCTGCACACAAGACTTTCGTTGAGCCATCTAACCCCCATGCAGCGTGTGTCACCTCTGTGTCACTCGCTGTCGTCACGTCAGCTGCCAGCAAAGGTTTGCTCACTGACGCATGTGAGGGCGTGGCTGTGGATACATGTGCTGTTCCAGGAATAGGAGCCAGGATACTTAACTGTAGGGTTTTTGTTAGCAAAACTGTGGAACACTGAATGGACACGTGTCTGGTGACACGTCACCTGTTGTAGGTGTGATGTTTAAGTGGCCTTGTTGTCAGCACCTTGTGTTTTTGTTGAGATAAATTGTGGTGAGTGCGTGTGCATATTGCCACGTGTGGGGGGTAATCTGTATTTCCTTAAAAGATTTAAAGGGCAACAGGATGTTTGTCATTCCCTCTCAGGCTTCTTGAGAAGCATTGTCTAATCCTCAACAATGCAACTTGGGAATTAAAGGCACTTGAACAGGGCAGCAACACATCTGATTTTGATTCTCTGATATTTTAATCATTTCACACTGTTCTTGTTTTTCTGTGAGCAACCGTTTTAATTATTTCTGTGCTTTTTACAGCGATCTATTTTTGTCCTTCTCTTCTTCCCCCACCGTCTCACTTTTTTTTTGGATGTAAGGGGAATTCTGTAAAAGTATGCCTGGCGCTGAGCAACAATGTTCCTCCAGCTCAGACTTCATGTCATGTTGGCCTTTTCAGTAACGAGAGCGCGTGTTGGAAGAATCTTACATAAGCTGGGAGTGGCACGACTTTGCTAACGAGCACGAATCAAAGTGTTTCATCTCGTCTAGCCATCACTGAGAAAATCTACAGCTGCATTTCAGTTTTTATCAGATGGGGGTCTCACTGCCGCTGCCTTTAAAACCCGATGCTTTAAAGGCAGGACAGGGGCAGGGATGTTTGGTTGGATATTAATAATTGACCAACTCCACTGCAGGTATTACATATGGATTTCAAAATTCCATTTTGAAATATTGAAAGTATGCACTTATTGGTGCCACTACTAAGGATGCATAAAAAATAAATTCCTGCAGCACAGAATTTAGTCACAGAAATGTTTTTTTTTTGTTTTTTTCTAATTGCCAATATCACAACTGACATCACTAAAACATATGTAATATAAAAACATATTTTTTATATTTATATAATATAAATATTCCATACTTTATATGGAATATAAATGTATATTCCATGTGTTTGATGTGAAACTATCGAGGAAGTTTAATTGGGTAAAAATGTGGAAAAGTTGGACACCTATGTTATAGAGCCCTTCTTCTTCAAAGGAAAGAAAGCAAAAGTAAGCAAATCTTTAAAAATCAGGGAATTTCCAGAAAAACAATAGCTGCCCATCTAAACCTTCCCATGTTGAGATACACAGATAAATAATAATATAATTTTATTTCAAAGATAAATTTGGACAAACACAGACATGTTTCTCTCCATTTTACTGAAAGATCTAAAAGGTTAGAGTTTATATGAATGATTTTGAGAACTATGCAATTTGACAAAATATTGAGAAATGGCTTGCTCATCATTGGTGTCATTGTTTGCTAAAATTCAGTTATTCATCCATCTTTTTACTCTATTTTTTCACATCAAAAAAATGGAAACAGTGACTTGTTCAGTGATCACTTTGTCTTCCTCCTTATCGTTATTCTGCGATCACGTCCACATTTTCTCCCGCTCTGAACTCCCCATAATCTGTAGTGGCAGATAAAGACCAACAATACACTCCGGCTTTTATCACCAACCTGACATTCATTAGTATTCTAATAGTTTGTACATTTATTACGTCTGCTTCGTTTTGTATATTACACAATAGGCCAGTCTTTAGATAGATCTGTTTATGTATTTTTATCTGTATTCACTCCATGCAGTGTTCACAGCTCTCACCATCACTTGGCCTAGAGCCTGATGTGTGCAAAAATAGTAACAGCCACAAAAGAGATTCACTAAAGCAGGAGAGGGGAGAACACGAGGGACTAGAGGGCTACCCCCTCCCACTATCTTCTTTCATATCACCTCCTTTAACAGTGTCATTCTGTGGGAACCATAATTTTATGATTTAAAATGGATAACATTTTAGTCTTTGTGGGATTCTTGTACTTAAATTAACTAATTTGGAAGTGCATTTCAAGCAACTAAAAATATACCCCTCTTGCAAAAGTGTTCATGCCTCAAGTGAGATTATTTTGTAATGTTAACACTACAAATGTCAATATATTTGAATGTCACAGATGAACAAAGTATTATATGGTTCTAAACCTGGAGGAAAAAGATGCATTATTTTTTTAAATTATTTGTAAAATAAATCTGAGAAGTGCACTATGACTTAGTGTCCTATTCATCTGAGCAAATACTTTGAAAAAACATTGGATGTTGCGATTTTAATTACAAGTTGTATATCTATCATTTTTGCACATCTGAAGATAATAATGTTTACCCAGTAATCTGCAAAAACTCACTCAGACTGGATGCACACAGCTTATGTTAAAAATAACGGGAAGTTTTGTTTTTGTCTAATATTTCATTTACATTCTGCACCCTTTTAATGTATTTGACATTTTAGACGGACTTTTACCTGACTTGAAATTTAATTTTCTGATGCCTTTAGAGGGTATGGGAATGAAAGATTGCTCTTTGCAACTGATGTCATCACAATATTCAACAATAATATCATGGTTGTGTGTAAGCTTTCTTTTAGTATGCATAAAATATTCTAAAAAATATTTAAAATGTGAACATTTTAAAGAACTATGAATACTTTTTCAATGCACTGCATCTTTTTTCAGGTTAAGCAAGTGGCGATTTGGACAGTTAGACCCTCCACCAGGATTTTCCCTCATCCCCTCTCTAATTTACTAATTTCTGCATGCTTTGGCCAGAGCCATATTTTAGCTACTGAGCATTTTGTGCAAAGGAATGGCGAGGGGGTAATAGGAGGTGGGGGGCAAAGTATACAGCGTGCCAGCACTGAGCCTTCATCAGAGACTGGAGGACAGGCAGGCAGAACCTCACTGAGACTTGAAAACCCACACATTCTGGCACCAGCCTCATCTTGTCAGTACAGGCTGTTACATCCTGACTGCCGCTGCTCTCTCTTTCACTCCCCCCCCCACCACCCTATTCACATACTGGCTCTTTTTTTTTTTCATAAATGCATCCAAATGATATATGGAGAAACCAATAAAACAGCTTGGAATAAGGAAAAGGTCTAACTGCAAATAATGCTTTATGCATGAAACATAAAATGAAAGTCCAGTATATTATTGGAGATTTATTAGATGTGATCTTTTCTATCTAGCCATACCAGTGGAATTTTATTGTGCCATGGCATGAGGAGTACCAGCAAAATAACATAGCGATGTAGAAATCATAAGAACAGGCAAGAGGAGAGAAGAGACAATAAGCTACTGTGACAAAAAAAAAAGGAGCCCGAGTGGACGAAGGGAGGAGTGAGAAGGCGGCGTCATAAAAGATATGGGTATCACCCTCTGCAGCTGCAAGGAGTAGAAAGCATGACAACCTGACTGTTGTAATTTGTCTGAGCGCTCGTGAGTCATATCTCTGAGTCACTTCCATTGCATTTATTGGTTAAAATTTACTGTCTGGCAAAATCATTTCATGAACCGTAAGAGTGTTACAAAAACGATGGAGGTGTGGAAGGCAGCTTTTTGGCGCTTGGAATCACTTTTTGATCAGAGACAGTCAAAGATGTCACTTCTTCAATAAAGCTTGAACAATATCTGCTATATTGAAATGTTGCCTAGTTACTGGTGTTGGAAGCCAGAGCCAGCGCTGCACTATGCCGAGACGTTTCTTTGGCTTTCTATATGCAGTTGATTTTTAAGAGTTAAATGAGATTCATTTTGTCAAAGAACATTTTCATATTTATCTGGGATGAATATTCTATGCCTTATTTAGTTTCTTTATTCAAATAAGAAATAGTTGCTGTATATTAGTAAAAGAGAACCATCTGATCTCAGCCCACTGAGCCAGACATAGTGTCAACTACATCAATAGGCAAAGATCTTTTTTGGCTCGCAAAGGAGCTGAGGCTGTAATGTTCCACCAGCAGCTTGATGCATTATAATTAAAATGGAAACTCATCAGTGAGAAGAAGGGCAGCAATAATCAGACCTTCGTTTTATCAAAAGATTTAGGGTTTAAAAGTGAATTAAATCACGTCATATAAAATTCTTTCTAACATTGTCCTTTTATAAAAAAGGAAACTTTATTGCTGGATCCGACAGTTTTTCAATACAACGTGCGTCTCAGTTTTTAATCACAATCTGTAGTATTTTGAGTTTCGTTTTTCCTGAGCTGTCCTGTTTTGTTGACGTGATTGTTTTCTGTGTTCCCTAATTTACTCTGCACCTTCCACCAGTGCCTCAGTTTCCTGCATTACCCAATTGTCTCTCATTTGCTAATTAGATCACCCTTTTTAGAATTCTCCCTGTCGAAATGAGTTCTTGGGTTTTCTCACTCAGTGTAAGATCCTCTTTTATTGCTGTGAGCATGTTTTGTTTCTTTCAAGAGTTCAATTACTATTGAATGCTCTTCTCATCCTGCACCTCAAGCCTTAATTTTGCGGTTGTGGCATCAAAATAAAATTAGCTAAAGTCATAACATTGTGAAAATCTGTGATACGAATCCAAATTCACAAATTACTGGCCTGTTTTTAATTCTTTTTCTGTTACCAATAAGTGGGTTAACTATGTTTATTGGAGAAATAAAAACTAACATGGTTCCAAAGAAATGCACAGGTTGTCATTGGCCTTAACAAAGTACTTGACCCAAACTATCACAACATACTGTTTCGTAAATTAGAACAGTACAACATCAGATGATTGGTGTTTAGAAACAAGCAAGTGGGTGGATATCAATCTCATTATTAGGACTTTCCCGGTGTCCTAACAATGAGATGTGTGTGTGTGTCATGGTTTGATCCAAAACAAGTTATTCTGTATATAAATATGGATTTTGTATTTCCTTTGTTGCTGGTTACAGTCTGAGTGAATGGATTAGTAAGATGGCTTATCACTTATTGTCAAAACAATTTTTTTGACTCATGGAGTGGTGTCCATTTTGCCGAGTAAGTTATGAAATCTCCATCGATTCTGTGTTTGTTGCTTGTTCAGTTTTTTTTTTTTTTTTTTTTTTTTGTGTCTCTTTTTTTTGTCAGCCTTGGCTTTTCTTTGGTGAGAAGTTGAAAGGAATCTATTTCTGTGTGGAGGCTGCAGGTGGCTCAGTTTGCTTCAGTAGCTCTGTTAGAGACAGTGACAGAGGGATCGGGTAGTAAAACGTTCCCGTTGAAATTTCTCGATAACGTCAGTGATGACAGGCTCCGAAGAGGCTGGAGCTCACTAACAGCCTGAATGAGTATTTCTATCTGCAGCCATCTCTCTACCTTTCAGTGCCAGCTCTTTCTAGTCATCACACCAAAACCCCCACGTTCAGGAAGCAGTGCATCTCTATACTTTGTCCATTAACATGTTGGTTGCTTTTGCATGCCTTATTAGAGAAATCCACATGCAGGTGTGTTAATCATTCCAATGCATGGGCTACAACATGGCGGTTCATGCCTTATTTAATCAAGCTGAGCTGCTGCTAAATTCCCCCTCTGTCATCATCTTCCACCCCCTCCTGTCTTGCTGTTTCTTCATCTCTCCACGCGCAGAGATGGAGTGCATGATTCTAAAATTCATTTTTAGCACTAAATCCTGTCGGGGTAGGTTATAGAAGGATGTTAACACATTTGTCAAACTGTGAACCGAGGTATTTGTTTGCGCCTCGCGTCTACACAAGAATATGTCGAGTGTGTGTGCGAGTCTGTGCTATTTCTTGATCTCCAGTCTCACCATATTGATTGTTTATCATTTTTCCGCTTTAGCAAAGCACCATGGGATGTTGCATACCAACAATAGATCCACATCTTGAATAAAAGCACTCAGGAGGGTGTTCAGTTTATGTAAAGCGTCTTCCTCCAGAGTACTCTTTTACAGCAAACACATGGGGATAGATCACACTAATAAAACAGTTGCAGCATGACAACACAGCTATAAAGGCACTTCGCACCAGGTGATTTCCAAGAGGGTTTTGTAGCCACCTATTGTACTTTGCATAAACAGCAAAATGTGTATTATTAGAACATGGGCTACTATTGAATGCAATATGTGCAATTATCCTGTCAGCTTAAAATGCACACGTGTGCAGTCATAAAAATTCAATGACATATTTTGTATGTTGTAGTTTTTCAGATGGAATGTGTTGATGCTGATTGTGTTTTTGCATATGTTTACATTTACAAATATTTACAAGTTTCTAATTGTTTTTTCTCCTAGTGAGGCTTTTAGCATAAAATTTACAGCAAATGTTGGGACAAAAATCCCCAAAACATGACAAAAAAAGCTCATCGATTGTTATCTGAAACTGGTGAAATAAGTGGGCAGAAATTATTGAACACATTTATAAAAATGTATGAAATACATAACAAAAAAGCATTTTTTGTTTAACTTTGAACTTTTCATAAAAAAACTTGTCACACACATTGTATTATTTGGACTCATTCTTTTACACAAAATACCTTAAGTTTTTATTAAAGGTTCTAATAAAATAAATCTTGTAGATGTCTTGAATGTGCTCTTTCATTATATATGTATGTATATACATATATATATATATATATATATATATATATATATATATATATATATATATAATATATATATATATATATATATTATATATATACTCACTTCATCACTTTAATAATGAAAGGAAAGCCTTTTTCATAATATATTAAATAGAATAAACCCAGTATATAATGACCTTTGCAGGATTCCTGAATAAGTTATTTAGTCAAGGTTATCTATAGTCATTGTTAAACAGATCTGGAGACATTGTATTTACTGAATACTTGTCATCGTGTTTGTCTTGCAGAAAGAATGGCTTTGCCTGAACTGTCAGACTCAAAAAGCAATGTCAGGCCAGCTGGGAGACGTCCCACCACCATCCATGGCGTCCCCAAAGAAGCAAGAACCCGCTCTGCCCCCCGACCCCTCGACCTCCCCAGTTCCTGCTGCTGTAGATAGCAAACCTGTAGCTGAACCCATAGATCCAATCCCACCTGCTACTGAGATCAAGGTAGAAAATACATCCATACCAGTTTCACCTGAACACACACACAGTCCTGTAGAAGACATCCTTCAGAAAACACCTGATTCAGAAGAACTAACACACTCATTAGCAGATGAATCACTGTCTGATCAACAGGTTATAAATTCAAAGAGTTTAGATGAGATGAACTCAGAAACCCCAACTGTTGAGAACAAACCGCTCAATTCTGAGAACATACCAGAGAATGGTCCTCATCCCGACACAGAGCAACAAACACAAAGTGCAACTGTCAGTGAATTTCTAGCAGCTGAGGAACAAAAGAGTAGCTGTGAGAAAGCGACAGAGAATCAAACTCAGTCTGACACTCAAGTTCTAAATGTTGAACAGCAAACACAGTGTGGACCTGGCGGTCCAATCCCAGTAGTTGAGCAACAAGATAGCGTTGACATCAGGGCAGAGGGTCTGTCTGTAACCATTGAAGATAAAGCACAAAGCCAATTGACAAATGCTGTTTTAGGCAACACACCTGACTCTGTCGAGGTAGAAACCAGGTCAGATGCTGAAATTGCTCAAAGTGAGGGTACAACTCCCGCAGATCATAAAACCATTGAGTCAACACCTGAGGAGCTCCTAGAAGCAACAGGTGATCCAACTGCTTCGGTGATCCATGAAAGAGTCACTGAGGAGACTTTACCTCATCCTCATCTGGATTTACCTCCAGTAAAGCCAGATACTACTGCGACCGATGAAAACAAAGAGCACATATGTGGAGTTTCAACTAACAAACCGCAAAATATGCCAGCAGAGCTAACTCTATCAGACGTAACATTAGAGTTCAACAAAAGAAACATCACTGGAGAATCTGGGGCAAACATTGTTGCACCAATTGTTTCTAATGATGTTACTGCAGAAAATATGCCTGCAACAGAGTTGACAACCTCTGTCAACCCGACTGCCAAAGCAGATTCAAAAGACAACACAGGGGAAGAATTACAAGCAACACGAGCAAACAATATAAAATTAGAGATTTCTTCGGTCGTTGAAGATAAAAATTCTCTTGAAGTGTTAGAGGAAGTTGGTCTGGAAGCTGAAACAAAAAAACAGACTACAGAAAAAGAAGAGGAGCCAAATTTAGTAGATATCTCTCCTTTTGTAGCTCCAGTAGAGAAAGAACCTAATGTTCAAGACAAAGCAAATGTGGAGAACGCTGATGAAATGAAAGACTCTGAGAAAATCATTGATGACAAGAAAATTGTTCTAAATAAAACACCTGAGACAGATAATGAACTAGTGGGAGTTGACACTGAAGTAATAGTAGGCACAACAGAAACAGCAGAGGTAAAATCAGAGGAGGGGAAATCATTAAAAAAGGAGGGAATTACAAAAGAAACAGTTGATGACCAAAAAGTTTTCAGAAAACATGATGATGAAGCATGCTTAATTGGAGCAGTCAGCAATGATGCTGAAAATATCACAATGGAGAAAGAAAATGAGGTAGAAAAGGAAAGTGCTGCAGCAGTAACTGTCCCAGAGGAAATGCCAAAAGAAGATGTTCAGATAAATAAAGACATACAGCAAGAAACCAAGTCTGAGGCTGTTGAAGGAAGCCATGTTGAGACAATGGCATCGTTACAGAAATCTGAAGAAAAAGAAAAGTGTCCTGCAGCAGCAGAGGCTGTTCCACAGTCAAGAAAACAAAGCCAGGAGGATGACACTTTAGAGACGGATGAACAGATTGACAAAGCAGCGGTTATCTCTGATCCACCTTCTGTCAAATCAAGTCAGCAAGAAGCGAATGCTGTTGATGTGCCAGTTAAAAGTGAACAGCTTGTGCTAACCTCAACCGATATCATCGAAACAAAACCCAGTGATAAAACCAGCAAGGAGAAAGACTGTGAGGGTGAGGTGGAGGCTGGGTTGAGTGCCACAAAATATCAAAACGAGTCTGAGGAAGTTGAGCCACCAGTAAAGGATAGGGAAGCAGAAACCAACAAGAAAGAGGATGAGTCACAGGCTGTCGTTGGCAGCCTGCAGGAAGCTATTTCAGTATCTGAAGCAAGTGCAGTGTGTGACAAAGATTGCAATACAGTATTTGATGTAGAAGTGAGCTCCACTTCAGAGATGCGTGAAGCTTCAGACCATGTGCCTGCTGTAGTACCTTCAATCCCATTAGAATCTGAAATCCAGTCTGTAGTTAAAGAGCATGATGCAGGTTTGAAGGAGGAAAGCGTGGAAGAGCAAATGGATGCAAAAACTAAGCCTGTGGAAAAGCATGGCGATGATGAAGCAGTTCTTGAGGTGACCATAATGTCTAGCAAGCGTAGCAGTAGATCCTTAAACCATTGTGTATTTCTGCTATATTTTCTAAATTGGGTGTAAAAAGTAAAAGCATATAGAAAATGGAAATAGTTATCAGTATTGAATTACAGTTGACTTATAGTTGAAAAAAGTGAAAGTCTTTCAAACACAGCTGAATGTATTTGTAATATGTTTTAGAACATATTAATATAGTCAACCAAATGGTTTTTTGTTGATTAAAAAAATTTTGTAACTTGTCATTACATAAGAAAAAGCTGTCCCCATACAAGAATGCTAAAACAATATTTTCAAAAAGATTGTTTTCTGCCTGAAGTAACAATGAATTTCTTTCTATTTCCAGATCAAACAAGAGGAGACCTTGAAACAGCCTGACTTGAAAGAAACTAAAGAAGACAATCTCACAAGCCCATCAGACCTAGCAAAATTAGAAAGCTCTGTGTTTCCCATTCTGGAGGCCCAGGTAGACACAGAGCAGGAGGAGAAACAGACTGATACTTTAAAGACCAGACGCAAACTGGAGGTTCTTCCTCTCTCGCCTGATTCTCCCAGTTCAGAAGAGGATAAAGACCTTTCAGAGAAGAATGCCAAAAGTACTGGAAAGAAAAAGCTTCTTGTGCCAATTGATGTCAAGGTAGATTCCCTGGACGATAGCAGTGAAAGTTTTGGAAAAGAAAGCCCGATGTCCGGAGATGATGAGGAGTTTATCAGGAAACAGATCATAGAAATGAGTGAGAATGAGGATGCCTCTCCATCAGATGAAGAAAGCTTAGTCAGGCGAAAGATTAGAGATGGTGAGAAGAAACAAAATGAGGAGAAGAAAGAAGAGACTATAGAGAAAAGCACATCAGGAAAAACAAGACGGTTAATTAAGAAAACTACTATTAGTCCCGATGATGATGATGTTCAGGAAATCACAGCATCAGCAGATAAATCTGATATTGTCAAAGAGAATGAGAAAGAACAAAAAGAAGAGGAAGATCAAAGAATTTCTGCACCTCGCCAGCTACAAACCTTTGAGCTGAATGTAACCAGCAACCCTATATGTATACCTAGTGCAGATGGAGAGCCTGAAATAGAAAGTCTAACAGACTCCCCAGATGATCGGTCTCGGGGTGAAGGGTCATCTAGTCTACATGCATCTAGCTTCACTCCTGGAACGTCGCCGACATCTCTTTCATCTATGGACGAGGATAGTGACAGCAGCCCAAGTCATGTTCGCACTGGTGAGGGTAAACAGCACAGAAAAGCCAAGCACCGACAAACTGGGCAAATGCTACCAACTATTGAGGACTCATCAGAGGAGGAAGAGTTAAGGGAGGAGGAAGAACTTCTCAGGGAGCAAGAAAAACAAAAGGGCTCAGGAAAAAAGTCTAAAAAAGACAAGGATGAGATTCGGGCCCAAAGAAGGCGAGAGCATACAAAGACACCTCCGAGCAACCTTTCTCCAATTGAAGATGCCTCACCAACTGAGGAACAGAGACAGGAAGCCGAAATGGAGGAGATCAGACGGTCATCCTGCTCTGACTTTTCTCCCAGTATTGAATCAGATCCTGAAGGATTTGAGATCCATGCTGCAAAAATTGCAGAAGTGCAAAAAACATATCAGCTGCCTATATCTGTATCTCTTCACTCCCCAACAGATGATCAAAACACTAATAAATCTCAGAAGAAAGCTCTCAAATCTGCTGATGAGGCTTATGAAGAAATCATGCTAAAGGCTAAATCTCCAACAGTTGACACAGGCGAAATTCAAGCAGGAAAGGAAACAGAATATGGTGGCATGCTTATTGAAGACTATGTTTATCCATCACTTCTTGACAATTCTTTTGATCGGGAAGAGACCGAGAAAATGTCTGTTCCTGCTGAACCCAAAAAACTGAGATCGCCCGATGAAGTTTATGAGGACATGATCAAGAAAAGAAAGGAATTCATGCAGCTAGAACAGGAATATGAAAATATAAAGCCAAAAAATGAAACCCCTAATCCAAAAATTGTGTTCCAACCAGCTGAGAGTACCTTCCCACAAAGCGGCACAGTGACATTAGGCAAAGATGGGAAGCCACTGTTGGATGCGGAAGCAGCCTATGAGGAGTTGATGAAAAAAATTCTAACTCCAGGAACAAGCCCAACTCAGCCTGAGCCAGAAACGGAAACTACTTCATCAAAAAAGGTTCTTCGCCCTATTCCAGACTTAAAGGTAACACAATGCTCTTCTGGAGAGTTATCCTCTGACGATGAAACTACAGTTAAAAAGGAACAGGCGGTGACGGGAACATCAGATATAATATCAGAAAAGCAATCTGAACATGTAAAAGAAGTATCTGAGATTTGCCCTTCGACTACAACAGAACAGACAGAACAGCAACCTGACAATGAAACCTCTACTTCTCAGATTGAACTTGTGGACCTTTCTAATACTGTTCCAAGATCATCAGATTCTGTGATTGCTAATGTGTCACCCCTACCAACAGTCCCCCAATACACACCTAGCATATCTAGTGTAGTGTCAACAGCTCCCCCTGTCCCTCCTAAGCCAAATATTTTGCGCCGGGCTAATTCTCAGGAAAAAGGAGAAGAACCTGTTGTGCCACCCCAGCCTCCTCCCACTCCACCAAAACCCACAGTTTTTCCCAGGAAAGCCCCAGTTCCACTTCCACCTCAGGCTTCAGCACCTGTGAAAAAATCTGAGCCAGTGACTATGACTTCACCCCAAGGATCACCTGTTAGACAAGTTGTTACTCCAACGTACAAACCTCAGATTCCACCTCCTGTTCCTCCAAAGCCAGCTATTCATGGGATTGTGGACAGTCACAGACCAGGATATGGTGTCAAACCACCAATTGCACCAAAGCCTGGTTCACAGCCACCTTCACCTGCTCATGCCCCTCTTCCAACAAGACCTACGGTACTTCCCACTGGTCCAAATGACTCTGTCCTTAATTTGAGTCCCTCTACAGAGGGCAAGACATTTCAACCTTCACCAAAGTCTCCTTCTTCCCCAAGATATGCCAGCAATCTCCGTGACACATATGTAGTCATCACACTGCCATCCCAGCCTAGCTCTCCAGTTGACAATGTCACAACTCAAGCCCCCTCTGGTCCTGGACCGGCATCTCCCTCAAAGCAGGGTCAGCATGAGAGTTATCAACCACAGCCTCAACACCCTTATTCAAATCAACAACAACCAACCCCTCTTCCTCAGACAACCAGAGTACCTCTGGCGTATACACGTGTCATAGAGTCTATTGAAAAACAAGAGATTTGTAGCCCAGAGAAACATGTTTCTAGTTCTTGTCACATAATTGAGGCCATATCTGCTTCAGCACAGCCATCTGTTATGCCTAACCTCATATCTCAAGTGGTTACTACGGAAGTTCAAAGAACCACTGTCTCCGTTGTTCATGAAAAACCGCCACCACCAGTACCAGCTCCAAGAGCAACAGGTGTTCCAATGTCAATGGAGAAACCTAAGCCTCAAACACTGGCACAGACTGAAACGACCTCTCTACCCTCTGAGGTGGTAGATCTTAGAACTGTTAAGGTTGATTCAGATTCAAATATGAATGGTGTTGATCTGTCCACCACTCCAGATTCAAGACGTCAGTCTTTTGTGAGTGATGTCAGTCGTCACACCAGTGCAGTGCAATCACCTGTGGTCAACCTCAGCACTGAATCCTCCACTGTTTCAATATTGACTGACAGCATCACTATTGTGACCTGTTCTGCCACAATACAGCAATGTGAAAATATAGAGGTTTCTCAAGTCTCCTCCACGCCCCTTCAGTTAACAAAAAATAAGGCTTTTGAACCCGTTTCTCAAATTATATATCGACCAGTTGAGTCTCAGCCCTCCACTTTTGCAACAGCAGAAATCCCAATTAATCTTTCAGTTGGATCAAATACAGTTGCAGGAGGTTTCCAAGCCATCCCAGTCACTGCTTCAGTTCCTCCTGTGGCAACCTGTGTTGCCAATGGATTAACTACAGGAAGAACCACAGTGGCAGGAGCTGTTGATCTTAGTACCTCAAAACCTTTCAATACTTTGGTATCAGTTGATGTGACATCTGCAGATGTGGTTACAACCGTAATCACAGATGATGGCAAACCAGTGGATCTAACAGCAGGGAAGAAAGCTGTGTGCTGTGATGTTGTGTACAAGCTGCCATTTGCAGGAAGTTGTGCAACTCAGCAGTCTACCACACCTCTGCCTGAAGATCGTTTCGGATATCGTGATGACCATTATCAATTTGACCGAACGCCTTATGGCATGAGAGGGTTTGGTGGAATTAAACCCTCCATGTCAGACACCAATCTTGCAGAAGCTGGGTTATTCATGTACAAGAGTAAGAACAGTTATAATTTCAGTGTCACAACAGAGGGAGCAGTAGATCTCACCTCAGCGAAGATATCAGATGCAGGTCAGTGCAGTGACATTGCGGATCTGTCACTTAAATGTCACTTTGAACTGCCTCCACTTATTCATGGCTGATGTGGATTTTTTATTTCCTTTGTTTTATTTTGCATGAATTTTATTTTGTTTTTTATTCAACATAATTTTTTTTGCATGTTTCTGTTTTGCTTCTTCCACCTCTATATATAATTGTTTTTTTTTTTTTTTTTTTTTTTATCTTGGCAGTATTTTTTTTAATTTGCTGAAGGCATGGCTTGATTCAGAATGAATTGTCTAAAAACATGGACTAAAATATATTTTTGACTTTTGACAGGTGAAGCTGTTGACTACTCCAAGAAAGGCAGTTATGCAGGAATGACAATCCCCCCATATTCCCATTCAAGTGCCACAAGTGCTGTCAATTCACTCTTTGGGACAAGTAGTGTTTTAAGGTCATCAAATGGAGTGGTCTATTCATCTGTTGCAGTGCCAGTCCCATCAACATATGCGATTACGACTCAACCAGGATCCATATTTAGTACAGCATATAATACCTTTTCAGGTATGCACACAAGTGACACCATGCCTTCTTTGTCCAATCTCCAGAATATACCACTTACAAGATCCCAAAGTTTTCTCTCCACCATTTCCACAACAGAAGAACAAGGAGATGCTCCTCTTAACCTGGAGATCTCAAAGGGAGGTGTGACTGCTGTCAATGGTACAGCTACATCAGCAACATCTTTATCCCTTGACACATATACAGATGCATCCCTGGAGGCTATAGCCGCTTCACTGGAAGCTCTCTCGTCCCCCATGGTGCCTGGAGATGGCCAGTATCAGGCAGAGCGAGAGAGGCTAGAAATGGAAAAGCTAAAGCAGCAACGCTTAGCTGAGGAATTGGAATGGGAGCGGCAAAATATTCAGCGATTCCGTGAACAAGAACAGCTCCTAGTACAGAAGGAATTAGAAGAGTTGCAAGCCATGAAGCAGCAGATCCTGACTCAACAAGAGGAGGAAAGACAGGCTCATCTTATGATGCAAAAAGAAACATATGCTCAACAACAACAGCAACTTGAGCAAATACAAAGACTCCAAGAACAATTGCGGCTACAGTTAGAAGAGCAAAAGCTTCGTCAGATGTACCCAGGTGCAGACATCCCAGGACATGGCGTACAGGAGGCCATTGTCTTAGGACCTGATGGCACAGTGCTTTCTCGAAAAATTACAGATAGTGGATGTCAGACTGATGAGGAGGACGAAGTACTAAGCAAAGCCTACACAGCAGGAAGAAAAAAGAAAAGTGTTAAAAAGAGTGTTGATAGCTGCGTCCAGACTGATGATGAGGATCAAGAGGAATGGGAGGCCCAGAGAAGTCGACAAAGCCGTCCCCGTACTGCTAGAGGTGATAGGGGTGGGGGGTCAGAAATGTCTCTTCAAGCCCACACGGAAATTTCTATACAAACTGACACAGATGGAAATATTCGAATGGACACGAGAATGGAGGTGTCAGACTCAGAAAGGACCTCACCAAAGAAACGTCCTACTCCCTTAGAAATAGCCCAGTCTGCCAACCTAAAACCAGAATTTTCTTCCCTTCAAGCTCATCCTAAATCCCCTAAAGTACTTTATTCTCCTGTATCACCATGTATATCACCTAGCAAATCCCTTGAATTTGTGTCCTATGATAAGTCCCTAGGCGATACCAGCCCACAAAAGTTAAGAAAAAGCATAGACCCATCAAAATCCTCTCCAGCAAGTCCTCAGGGACCCAAAACCATGCAGCGATCAATGTCTGACCCAAAACCCATGAGTCCAACAGGAGAAGAAAGAGCAACATCTGGTACGCAGTATGGGGATGGCCATACGGTGAGTACGACAGTCTCCTGCACCACTGTGACAAATGTCAGACACTTGCAAAAGGTAAATGTATTTTGTCAATTGTCAGAAAATTAGCAGGATGCTGCTGGTGTTATTTTTTTTCCATTTACTTTGTAATGAGTAAAATGGATTTAAGTATAGTTAAGGAAAAAAATTGTCTGTCACAGCAAATTTCATGAAAACAATTCTCCCTTACCATTGATAATTCCATACCTTCATCAATTGTTGGGGAAAGTAAGCTGAACATGCAGAAAGAAATGTTGATTCTCAGGTTTTAAGAAAGACAAATTGCTACTTTGGTGGACTGTAGAGTACATCTTTAACGTTTTGTAATTTTTTATGGGACTAAATGCAGAAACAGAAAAATGGTGATACACAAGTCCCATCACTTACCCAAGAAAGCAATACAGGCCAAAGATAGCTCTGCCTTTACAGACTAGACTCTATAAATGTTGTCAGATATTCAAACATGTTTGGGTGTTAAGGTTTTTAATTGACTGATATTTTATGTTATCATTTACTATAGGGGAAAGGATCAGGCGGCACACCCACGGGGACGCAAAAGAAGGTGAAAAGGACTCTTCCCAATCCCCCCTCTGAAGAAGAGTCAACATCAAGTGGACAGACGGCATACACCACAAACTCAGCTCGCCGAAGAATGTGCCGAAATTCAAATATGGCACGTGCCAAGATATTACAAGACATTGATCGGGAGCTGGATCTGGTTGAGCGAGAGTCTTCCAAGCTCCGCAAAAGACAGGCAGAACTAGATGAAGAGGAGAAAGAAATTGATGCTAAGCTTAGATATTTGGAGATGGGGATCAATCGCAGAAAAGATGCACTTCTAAAGGAAAGGGAGAAAAGAGAAAGGGCCTACTTACAGAGTGTCGCAGAGGATAGAGATTACATGTCAGACAGTGAGGTTAGTAACATCCGAGAGACTAGGAGTGTCCAAGATGGTGGTGAAGATGAGGACATTGAGGATCACCTTCTTGAGCGTCCCAGAACAGCTCCTCACTCAGAACTTGATGATTTTGCTCCTCCCCAAACCAAGCATGAGTATGGAAAATACTCTCAGTACCAATATCCTCAAAGCCAATACCAGCAATCAATCTATCAGACTCCACAGTCCTACCAATCTCACTCTATCTACTCCTCTGTTCCTTCACTTACTACTGCCCAGCAGCAGAGTTATCAGCAGATGCTTTTGTTGCAGCAGAAAGCGGCAAGACAGGCGGCTCTTTTGTCAGAGCTTGATGCAACTAAATACGATGTCATTAGCCGTCAGCCTGATCCCACGTCATCAGCTTTCCTTGGTGTCAAATATGACAAATATGGTAACCATTTAGACCTCAGAGCCCTGGAGGTGGGAAGCATAGCAGGAACCCCAATGTCCGCTGTTTCTGATTCCTACTACACAGAGGTGGAACACCACACTCCTCGGAGCTACATGCTGCTGGAAGATGCTGCAGAGTTAGCTAAGACCTCCACAGGTCTGTCTTCATCTTATAGTTTAGCCGAGAGGGAACTGGCTAAGGCAGAGAAGCTTTTGCGCAGAAGTGCTGCAGATCTTGGGTCTACTGACTATCTGGGCTCCACCTCCAGGCTCCATGCTTTCGGAAAGACTCCTGATGAAGAGGATTCAATGGAGGAACCCTATGAATTAAAACTCCTGAAGCAGCAGCTCAAGCAGGAGTTTAGAAGAAGTACAGGTGGTACAGAAAGCTTAGAACAACTGACAGGTCTCTCCCAAAACTACTATACTCCAAGCACTGGTGTCTCTAGTTATTCCCAAAGGCACTATCCAAAGTCAGACAAGTACAGCATCAGTCGACTTACTCTTGAGAAGCAGGCGGCAAAACAACTTCCAGCATCAGTGTTGTACCAAAAGCACAAAACTCCACTACTAGATCCTAAAATCTCCTCCAAGTATTCCTCTATGACTGACAACAGGGGTTTGGAAACTGATTATAACTATTTGGGATCTACCAGTGCATCGCCCAGATCCAGCAGGCTGCTGCAGGATGAAATTACATTCGGCCTTCGAAAGAATATTGCAGAGCAACAAAAGTATCTTGGGTCTACCTTAGGAGCCAATTTAGCTGGATCCCTAAATTTGGGCCAGAGCTTGGGCTTGGACTCTGCTTATCCTAGTGGTAGCCGGTCAAGACCCTCATCCAGACCTACTTCGTGCTATGGCCTGGACTTGTCAATCAAAAGGGACCTTTCGAGTTCTTCACTGAGGCTTAAAGGAGATGGAGAGTCATCTGGAGATGGTCCAAGTTATCAAACCCCCTCTGGTCGCACCAAGCCCACCAGCCTTCCAATTGTGCAAAGCGGTCGTGGACGAATTCCTATTGTGGCACAGAACTCAGAGGAAGAGAGTCCGTTAAGCCCTGTTGGTCAACCAATGGGCATGGCTCGTGCATCAGCTGGGCCTCTGCCTCCTATTTCAGCTGATTCACGGGACCAATTTGGTTCCTGTATGTCCCTACAAGATTCCCAGCAACAGCAACATATAAGAGAAGAGCCAACAAGGGGTAGGAGTTATGTGCTGCTGGATGATCTTCAGGGCACAATGTCAGATAGTGAAGGTAATAAACAAACCTGTAAGACTGAATCTCTTTCCATTTTAAGTGTCTTGTGAATAATAGTTTGTGGGTGAGATCTGGATTGAATGCTAGCATGCATGACATAAATATTTAGCTTGTGATTAATATTTTAAAATGTGCATGCTTCTTTATTTTTCTTCTTCTACTCATTTACTTTGTTGTGCATTTTGTTTTCAGTATCTGTCCATAACTATTGTCTGTATGTTCAGCTCTGTGCATGTCTTTGTCTATTACACTGACTTTGCTTGCATATATATTGTAACAGTTCTCTTTACATTCACGGTATATTCCCATCTTTTTTGTTTGCATGACAATCTAATTTTGGTTCCAACTGCATTTGTAGAGATTCCTCCCATCAAATGTAACAGTTTCTAAATTTATCTGTAACGTTTTATGGTTGAGAACACAAAAAACACAAGATGATGTTATCACAGAATGAAATGCATTACATTTGATGGAAAACATTTATTTCTGCATAATAAATTCAAATCTTAAACTTGCATGTCTTTTATGCTTGTCTTTTGAAATGTGTGCTTTGCATGTCATTTATTATTTTGTCTTTCATGAGTAATACTTCTATTTCTAATCAAGATTTACATGTGTACACAAACCTCTATGTTTAGTTTGTTGTAAAGTTCAACACTTTGGTCAAATGGAGAAAAAAAAACTTCTAAAAAATTTTGCTTTTATTTCTAAGAGATCATTACTAAAAAGTAAAATAAAAAATTGAGACCAAGACCTTTTGAATACTGTTGAAATAAAAACAACCCAATTTGATTGGTTTTGGAAACACACTCCTACGTCTAATAGGACATTTAACTCTGAGTATATTTGAGATAGCCAAGGTGTCTGCAGAAAACAGAAATTGTCATAATGTAGGTCACTTGAAAGATTGACAATTGTCAATCTTTCAAGCAAGATATTTTCTTTTCTAGTTTGATGTATTAGAGAAAATGGCAGATATCTAGCAGACTGCAGTTTATTAGTCAGACCCGGAATCCAGGCATAACGTGTTATTTATGTATCCACCTGGCCATGCTACATTTCCTCATCAGCTTTTAACTTGGGAGATTTTTTCTTTCTAATATAGGGTCTCGCTGACGACCTCTCCCACAAAAATGTCAATACCCCCATCATGTGTTTTGACGTAAACATATAGGCTTTTATTTTTACATTACAAGAATAAGCAAAAGAAAAAAGTCAGTAACAATTGTTTTCATTCTATCTGGTAAATATAGTAATCACTACAATTTTGCAATGTAAACCAATTTGCCTGAATTACAGCCCTATGTGATCCCATGATGGCATTGAACAGAGACGATGCAACTAATGGTAAAGTATTAGTTTAGCTCTACAGTTATCCATGAGCTAACATACTAACCTGACCCACAAGTACAGTGTATCTTTCAATGGGATTATGACTAAATGTTGGGGAAAATGAGTGGAATTGTGAGCAGATTCTACTTAAAAGCAGTTTGAACCAGATTTAGCTGCAAATGTGATAAAATATGTTTTGAATAAAACTGCTTGCTTTCAATTGAGGACAATTGATATTCATATATACAACACCCAACATTTATATTCCTGGAGGACTTTATTGCCTCTTACTATTCGATCATACACACTTCAGTAATCCTGTTTAAGTCATCCATTTCTGCTTATTTCACACCAATGTTCCTTTTGCCATTCAGTTTGTAAATCACCAAATCATCTTTTACAATTAGCTGTGTCCTTATAAGCATGAAATCACATTTAAATACTCTTGAACCCATCTTGTTTTTGTAAGATGCTAACGTTCTGACTCCGAATGAGTTTGAATTCTGTCCCTAAAGCCTATCACCTCAGGCGAGACGAGACGGACTGGTTTGACAAACCGAGGGATGGACGGCCAGAGAACGGACAAGAAAAGAGACAGGTGAAACATGCAACTCCATAAATTGGAATATGACTGAAAAGTAATTCAGTACTCAACATGTTACAAGTGTTAATTTTCTTGAATTTCAATGACAATGACTTACAGCTAATAAAAAATTTTATTTCAGCCTTCAGAAATTTCGAATAATACATTAGATCAAAAAGAAGATCTCTATGTTCTGTGCAGTATATTCACTCAGTACTTATCTAGAAATCCTGCTTTGTGTTAGGGAGCCCCAGGTTATTTTAATAACAGACTTTGCTTGTCTGCATGTGTCATGTCCCTCTTCACAATGCCCCAAAGATTATCTCTGGCATTTAGGTCAGGAAAGTTTCCTAACCAATCAAGCAGATTGATGCTGTGGTCACTGTACTTTTGTCAGTGTGGGCAGGTACCGTATCTGGCTGGAAACAGAAATCGGCATCTCAGCAAAGCTTGTTCACTTCACTGAGATGCAGACAAGGCTCTAAAGTTTCTTTATAGACAGCTGTGTGACTTCAGAGCTCACAAAACTCAGTGAACCAAGACCAGATGACATGGCTGCCCAAAATCTTTACAGGACTGTCAGCATTTTTAAATTTTTGTGGCCTACTCTTGTGGAGAATGTAGTTCACTAGGAAAGGCCGCCTTGTGATGACCTGAAATCATTTCAGACATTTACTTTTGTCCAAGAATTAAAGATAATCTTAAGTTATGTTTTCCATGAATATTTAGCTGAAAACATAAAATAAATTCTGCATTGAAACTGTCTTATTGGTTTTATGTGATATTTAAGCTTTCTCTGAAACAGAATTGTTCAGTCAATAATGGCTCAGTGCTATCTCTTTTGAAGTGGTCAAGCTTAGAAATATATTTTTAATTATCAAATAAATTATTTTAAGATCTAACTAGGACCAAATGAGTTTGTCTCATATTTATAACAATGAGGTCCTACTTGTTTACTGAAATGACCGTAAAGTGGTGCAAAATTCTTAAATATTCGATGAACAAAGATGGCGTGATAACTGAATGTAGTAACTCGCATCCAGTGACACAAGTACCTGACATGTAATCTGAGTGCAGAACATTAGTTACATATTTTCCTTTTTCATGCACAACAGGGAAAAGGTCCATACTATCCATTCCCTCACCTCAGGGTCAAACTGCAGAGGGATCCCAAAGACCGCAGTGTCACAGGTAAAGTAACAGGTTTAATGAAGTTAAATGTAGTTCTGTGAAACTCTAGGTGAATGACACATTTCCACTCACAATGTATTGTCAATCATGTAAATATCATACTGCATTTAGCTTTCTATGTTGGTTTTATTTAATCAGCGTGAATTGGACTATATTCTTAATCACTGTAATTTGGTATGGTTTAATCTTCATGCTAATATGATGATTTAAAGAGCATGACTGATGAGTGTCATGCATTTTATTTACCCTACACTGAAATCCCATTGAAGGAGCCAGTCACATCCTATCACACACCTCCTTCAGGCTCAAAGATGGTAGACGTGTTTTTGAGCTCGCTCATCTTCACAGTGAGCTTGCCATGCTCAAAAAATGGCATCTCCCTCACATTTTATCTAACAGAATTAAACAAACAGCCCACGAGGAATCATTATTGTTTTAAAAAACAAGTGATCAGGATTATTTTTGCCTCAATCATTTTGTTCTATCTTCAATTACCATATCATTTAAAATTGTTTGACAATATTAAATGACTGATTCTGATTTTGTATTGAAGGGAAGGGATGACTGATAGTATTTGTGCTGTATGTGGAACCATTGAGCAAAGGAGGAAATGGGTAACTTAATGTGATGAAATCCACACAGTGACCCTGGTTCTACACAAAGGATTGGAAATCTTCACTGTTATTCTGAAATAAAATGTTAAGACTTCCTGTAAATGTGAAGGGGACATATTGTTCTGCCCTAAGCACTTTTTTATGAACAATGTCATTAGGTTGTGTTTTAACTGTTAACTTTTACTTCTCACTTCCAAATAGAGCCATCGTGCTTCTAACGAAATACAGCAGATCTCAAACATGCACACACATCTGTCTGATAAAACGGAAAGCTTCTGCAATGTAAAATAACTAGACTATTATTTTCCTTTCTGATTCAACTGTCAAAAAAACAACCTGAGTAAGAACACACATCTTTGCAACTAATACTTTGCTAAAGCATGTTTTGATTTGTTTGTTTAGGGTTTTTTTTAATTTTATTTTTAGGGGTGGGGAGGTGGGGTTCGCATTCAGGACACTATATTTTTATTTGGAAATAATTGCTTTCTCTACATTCCAAAGATTTTCCCAAATTATCAGACTGTAGGGATAATCTTACCCAAAAGCTCCTCAGGTGACATCATAGCATTTTTTTGTGTGTTTGTTTTGGGTGTTTTCTCTGACTTAGGTCAGGATCTCTGTTATGCCATTTCACAAGTTTTTTTGTTTGTTTGTAATTTTCTGGAAAACTCATTCTTTTTTCAGTTTTAATGTACAAATTCTGTGATCCAAGACATTAAAATTATTTTATAAATTTGTATGCATTACTTTCCTGTTAATATCATAATATCAATATTTATGTTTTTTCCTGAACAGGAAATGGTTTGGGTATCCGTGTTGTTGGAGGAAAGGAGGTTCCAGGTGGGAGCGGAGACATTGGAGCTTATGTTGCCAAAGTCCTACCTGGTGGAGCTGCAGAACAAACAGGAAAAATTCTTGAAGGTAAAACCGTCCCCTGAATTTCATTTCTTTTGTTTTGGTATTAAATACAGTAAATAGCTAAACAGGTTTACTAACATTGAGGGTTTTTGAAAATGCATTTCTAATTACAAGTCTAGTTCTGCTTGTTTTCTGAAATGATGAATCTCCCAATTTACTAAAACACGCAGTGTTGTTCAGAACTATAAATACTCTATGAGATTGAAGTCACCATATCTACTCCTACAGAAGCTAAAGTTTAACTGACTGTAAAGGCTGCATATGTAAATGTGTTCATAAGTTTCTCAGAATAATTATACACTTTTTGCACTTTTGGTCAAGATGTGAAAAAACCAAATTTTCCCTCTACATTTTATCCGGTCTTTAAGGGTATTGAGTTTAATTTGGATTTTTTTCCCACCACAGAATAACCTTTTTCTACAAAGTTACTTGTGTTACACTCATTTACTACCCATCACAATTCCCATTAAATATGTGTTACTTAAGCATTAGGGATGAGAAAAAAAACTTGAACCATTTCAAGACACAATATTTGATTTAATCAAGTATTGCACAACAAAAGCCAGCCCTCATTAAAAAAAACACTTTCTAATGACAAATAGGCATGAGAATAAGATGGTTTAACAAATGGGGAGACTTGCACCTCAAGATAAAATAAAGATGTGCAAGGGTATTGTAGTTGACCAGAAATCTCCCCTCTGCTGGGGATGACAGTCTGCCAGTACAAATCAGGCAAAGCCATCCCGAGATGTGCCTCATCACTGCATTAGAACGGTGGATGTCTCCTGAGTTGTGTGCTGCTCGGTCAAGATGAGCCCTGAGTGAAGGCTCGTGTCTCAAAGTGTCTGAATCAAACCCAGCAATATCCTGACTTACAGTGCCATTGGAAATATGTTGAAAAAAGAGGACAAATTTACTAGAGTTATTATCCAATCTTTTTTTTTTAAGTCCATATGAATCCATTGGAGTTTGCTGGCCACAGCCTGTCAGATATTTGAAACCTTTTATTTCACAAGCATTTACTCCAACCATTGCTATATCAGGTACTAAATAAGAATAGATTTTTCCACAAGTCATCAGGTCATCATTAGCTCTGAGCATAATGGTTGCAAACCATTTGGTTCCGATTCACTGTGTTGGTGTATGGAGAAATGTTGAGATTTTCAGAAGCTCAGTGTCATGGAGAAGTGTAAATGTTTGCACGTATGACTTTGTGTGTCTGATCAGTTCAGCTGGTCACTGAAATTTGACATCTTTAAAAAGTGACAATTTGAAACCACAGTGTAGCTTCCCTGTCACTCACGCTCATTCAGCCCGCGAGTATCGTCGCAAACCCAAGACGCTGCTGATGAGCTGCTTTAATCCATGTAAGTCGTGTCCATGTAAGAGTGTGGGATGGGAGATTGCTTTGCTGTGTTGACTAACATTTGACGACTGTCTCTGGATTGACTTTCTACTTCCACACTTTAAATATCCTACTGTAAAAACTCACCTTAGATCATAAATGAAAAAAATACACCCACTCAGGGTTTCACTTCCTTTGCTGTGGTTTGAAGTGGCCTGCTTTTATCTTGACCATATAAAAAAAGTAAAAACATTGTAAATACAGCCTTGTTGATGTTCACAGGAATGCAAGTCTTAGAGTGGAACGGTGTTCTACTGACGGGAAAAACCTACGAGGAAGTGCAAGGATTGGTTGGACAGCTGTGTAACGAAGCAGAACTGTGTGTCAGACTGTAAGTATCACATCTTCTACTCTTTTTACTGATGTTGTTCATTTTTCATACAACCTCTTAATTTTCTTTTGGACCATTTTTCCCTTTTTGCCCATCTATTTGTGTGTTTCATTGCTATTAACAACTTGCCGATTCCGTATTTAACTGTAGAAGTCCTTGTGAGTCCTTTTTTTAAACTCAATGTATCTCTTACCTTGTAGGTTTTTATTTTTTTCTCATCACATATGATTTTCAAAGCTAAAATGAAGTCTTTTCTTTACAGTGATCTTAACATGTTGGCTGAGTCTGAAGATTCCCAGCATCTTGATTTGCAGGAGCCCAGCAAAGGTGATGTATTGTGTTTTCTTAATGTTGATCCTCATTTGAGGTTTCGCTTCAATGTCAATCAGATTTACAGTGCATTTTCTGTTGGAAAGCAAAATGAAAGTGTTGCTCCATGATGTATATTTAGGAAAACAAAATACAGGAGACAAACTTTAATACACACTGAAATGGAGAATTACACACACATAATCTAAGAGTTCTTCATTTTGTTTTGCTTTTTTTTACTTGCAGGGGAAAAACCTCCCAGATCTCCAGGTGTTGATCCCAAACAGTTAGCTGCTGAGCTGCAGAAAGTGTCACAGCAGCAGGGTCCCATGTCCGCATCATCCTCGAGCCTGGCCGCTCCGACGTCTGCGACGTCCAGTCCTGGTCAGCCTGGATCCCCCTCCGTCAGCAAGAAGCGCCACGCCAGCAAGGCAAGTGAAGGGAAGGGATTTCAGACATGTTCTGTCTGAAACTGAGGTTTCATCCTCAGGGCCTCGGAAGAGTCGTGTTCAAAAATAGACCAACATGCTGGGGCTTTCAAAGTACTTTGACCAGTTTTACTTTTTTTTTTTGCACACAACTACAAATTTTCTCAGACATTTACATCTAAAGACAGAAATTGCTGCACAACTTTGTCTTGTTCTGTCACAAAATCTTCTTTAAAAATGTTACATTTGTGGTTGTAATGTGACAAAATGGGAGACGGTTCAAAAGGAAGCAATACTCTAGTCAATCAAAAGTGTAATCTGAAACAAGGAATTTGGCTTCGACTTTCCAATGCTCACACCGTAAAGACAAAAAGTATGCATAAATAATCTTTAAAGGAAATAAGGTTGATACAGAAATAATCATTTATTTACAACCCATTTTACACATAAGCTGAAAAAACGTGGTGTTGTTATGTATGTGCATATTGCCTAAAAGACAGAAAAATGAACAGACATAAATTTAAGGCCCTTGTAGCAAATAATCTCCCAGTTGTGCCCCTAAGCACTGCGACAAATACAACAGAGTGCTGTACTTTATGTAGCTCAGGACCAACCACCAGTAATCCCTCCACCTTCACACTTTTATCTATCACAATCTTAGCATCTTATTCTCTTCCTTTATAGACCACAGAAGGATCCAAGACCCACTCCCACCCCATATCTGGAGAGATACAGGTCTGCAAAACAAATCTCTGCTATTTACAAAATGTGTTTCTGACTTTTAGTGTCTGAAGTATTCTAAATCCAAGACGACATCACGGTAATTCATGCCATTCATGGGATATTGTGTTTTCTGTTCAACTGCCTTTTCCTTTTACAGCTTCAGATCCACTACGACAAGCAGCTTGGCAACTTGATAGTTCATGTCCTGCAGGCCAGAAACCTTGCAGCCCGTGACAACAATGGCTACTCGGATCCATTTGTTAAAGTGTATCTCCTACCAGGGAGAGGGTGAGTCAGGGGAGCACACATTTTAAGGCACTGGTTCTGAAATGGAGCAAAGTTGGTTATGACCTCAAGCTATCATTTATGAACATTGTTGGTGTAAAAATGTTAGGGGGGAAAAAATTACGTTTTATTCAGAACTAGAGCCAGACTGACATGATGTTTTATTCCATCTGATATTTTCCCATCAGTGCTGCACACACAGCCACTTTGTTGAAAACAAAACTGAATTTTCATTCATTTAAAATCGATTTAAGATTGATTTTTTTATTATTATTATTATTTTTGTTGTCTTACCATTGCATCTTTCGATGTGCAGCACATGATCTTTATTTGATATCAACTTCACATCACTATGACACTTTGAGCCAACTAGCTTTTAGGCAAACTAGGCTTCACGTCATCTCCTCTTTTTTTTTTTTTTTACGGAGATTATTAGCTTCTGATCACTGCTAAACAAGCACTACGTGAATAATATGAGGCTGAACGCTGACATGTGTGTAAGCTGTTGATGGATGTGATACTGCAGGTATAAATGCAGACAAAATCAATAGTGCTCATATTTGCCTGCAATCTGATCCACATTCCCTCAATAAGTCCAAGGCTCCCCTCTCACTGTGATAACATTAAAATGCAATTTACTCCTTCACTTTCTCTTCTGCCTGTGACGCGACCTTCTGTCGAATTCTGTGGGTTCTTTCTTCACTGATAATTTATGATAAATATAATAATGTACGGCTCCATGCATTTGGCCAACACTCTCTAAGATCTTCAGCTTCATATATGTCCAGATTCAGAGACGACTGTGTAATTGTAGAGGGAGCCAGGGTAAGGATGTTGAAGTTTGTAGTACTGAGGCAAACTATTAGACTGAGACATGAACCCTTGTGCACATTCTCATGTATATGCTTTTGAGCTATACATGACTTTCCACAGCTATTGGCACAAACTGTAATCCCCACACAGAGTCTCTAGTTCCATCACAGATCTCCTGACAACCAAGTTAAGGTTGTTGAGAACAATCGCTTAAGGCACAGCAAACAGAAAAAGAGGAAAAACATATTGTTTGAATTGGTGAAAGTTGGCACTAAATTTATTTCCTTTAGATTGCCAACCTAGAGCTTTGTGAGGGGGTTCAAAATATGTGGACCCCTTCAAAAACGTATTTTATGTTAAAACCAATCTGCCACAAGGTCATGACCATTGAGTTGTTATAAACTAAAACTATGCCGCTCCCAAAATAGCTAATGCTACCAGATGTCCTTTTCCACTCTGAGCACTAAATTGCTGCAGAGTATCAATACAGTCCTAGCTCTGTGTAAAATATGCATCAACAAACATCTTGGCTGCAGAAAGACCAAAAGCAGTCTTAAGCAATTTTGCAACATAAGTTAAAAGGTATAAAATGAACATAAATTTTAGTTCTGATAGTTCTAAACATAACAAAAATAATTTTTCATCTATTTGACTGTCAAGTCAAATCAGTTAAGTTTTATTAGGAGTTGGCGTTTGATTAGTCACTACACAGTTTTCAAATTAGAAAATGGATACTGGTGCACTAAACATACTATCAGTGAAACATTATAACGACAAATTAAAGATCTTTTTGCACATTTTCTGTCTTTTTTATACTTTTAAAACACAAATAAACCACAAAGTAAGCCCAAATCTATTCCAGACTCCTCTTCCCTGAAGCCCTCATAGTCCACTGAGACGCTCTGAACCTCCACCCTCCCTCTGACTATTGTTTCTGTATGCTGTTTTCTATATTTAATGCATGCTGGACCCCTCAGTCAGGTCATGGTTGTCCAGAATGCCAGGTATGTGACTTGCCCACTCTAGTTGTGTTTTAGTAAAGAATAACAAAACAAAACTGGTTGTCAGTTTGGCAGCTGACCTGGTAGGATCATGGTTGATCAGTTCAGTGTCTAGTAACTCCTTTCATTCTTTCCCTCATTTTATGTTTTTGTATTGTTAACTTTACTAATATCTTGACGTCTTGACAATAAAATTAACCGAGCCCCACTCACCAAATAATTCCCAGTGCTTTTGTCTTCTCCTGATAGATTGCTTGTTGTATTTGACCATTAAAATTTGAAACTCAAGGTTTTAGCTCTAACCATTTTAGTTTACCCATGTAGGGCTTTAAAAACCTGCTAATCACTCCCCACATTAATCTTTAGTCCGATACTGCACCCTTAACACCCTGTCACATTAGCTACACACCTGTGACTTTGCATAGAGTGAATTGTTCTTGTCTTTCTTTTCCAAATCTACTAAAATCTCATACCCAACAATCCTAAATCAAACCCTGTTCTCTGCAAAAAACATCCATGTGAAAAAGTCATTTATTCAGTTTTGTGTTCTCTTCCATAAGAGGTTGAATATTTATTCCCTGTCAGAGTCATGTTTTTGACCTACTTCATGACTTTCGGGTTTTCCGCAAATACTAAATCGACGTCTTTGAAGATATTTTCCTAATGACCCACCCAACCATACGGAAGGATGTCAAAATTCTGTGAGATTAAATGACTTCATGGACCACAAAATGGACTTTTTTGCAGCACACCCTGACATCAGTCCTTTCTTTCCATGCACATAGGTCTTTGCATTATTAACCATCCAAAACAGTGTTCATCACTTTCATTGTCTTCCTTCTGTAGTTTCACATTGTGCCCTCTTTTAACCCAACTACTTGCCCTTGTCACAGTGTGGTGGTTCATGCGCTTGTATGTTCGCCTAAGTGATAACAAAGTGCACATTTTGTGATGTTTTCCCACAGTGCTGAAAACAAGAGAAAATCCAAACATGCAGGCAAAAGCCTCAATCCTGAGTGGAACCAGACCGTCATCTATAAAAACATCCACCTGGAGCAGGTACTGACGTGTTTTTGGAATGCATGGAACCCTTCTGGTCTTTTGCCTGTTATTGTGGACTTGCATCAATTTTTGCTTCTGATTTCCTCTACCAGCATCACTGACTGTACAGCAACAGTGCTTGTCATAATTTGAACTGTATGTGTTTCAGCTGAGGAAGAAGACTCTGGAAGTGAGTGTTTGGGACTATGACAAAGGTTCCTCAAATGATTTTTTAGGCGAGGTAAATGTTGTCTTTAATATATATATATATAATATAATATAATATATATATATATATATATATATATATATATATATATATATATATATGCAAATAAGTTACCCAATCTATGAGCATTTGCTAACATGGTTTGGTTGTCCCCAGGTTCTTATTGACCTGTCCAACACAGCCCAGCTGGACAACATTGCTCGATGGCTCCCCCTTAAGGAGCAAAGTGAAGGCGACCCCCATAGACGTTCCCACTCAGGCCAGGGTCGACATGGTTCCTCCAAACCCTCCTCACAGCACTCCTCCCCTAAAGTCTCCGGCTCCACTCATGATAGTCAGGATTCCCCCAAATCATCTGTCACCAAGAGTCGAAGCCATGGGATCTTTCCAGATCCAGCCAAGGGTAGGACATGATGAATTTCCTCACCTGCCTAACCTGTCAGTCCCAAACTACTGTCCGTACCTTGCTGGTCCTCTGCTACTCCTGCTCCCCTCCTCTCTCTACTGGGAATTCCTTTTCCCTGTGATTCCTTTTCCTGTCTCCTCTCTCTTTTTGCCTTGTTTCTCTCCTACAGTGTCAACCTTTGTCCTTGTTTACCTGTTTTCACTACCTGTATTCTTTGCTGCTCATTATGCAATCACTTGTAGCTTCAGCTTCATGCTTTTTTACTTTGCCATGGTCTGTTTTCTTGGTTGCCATAATGTCACCCAGCTCAGAGGCCTTGCCTTAGCTTCCCGCTATCTTTCCTCTACCACAGATAGCAACATGGCTGTGGAAGGCTTTGAATGCCTCCCTACCTTTGCAAAAAATAACAACAAAGTAGCATTAAATTGACTGAGAATGCTCCAGAGGGTTCTAGGCTCAGCGCAAGTGCTATTCAGCAGGCCACAGCCTCTTCAGTTCTGTCAAACAAAGAGTAGCTTTTCAGTAATTTGGTGAATCTGGTTGTTTTAGACACACAGGTGACCACTATCGAGAAATCCAACAGTAATCCTGGCACATCGAAGCCTTCCTCGTCCGAGGGCCAGAGCCAAAGCCCCAGCCACGGACACAGCCAGCACTCTCGCTCACATGGCGCTTCACACTCCAGCAAAAGCGCTGCAAGGCAGCACCATCAGGACAGCAGCACTGGAGGCAGCGGATCTGCTGTGATAGCACGGGGCGAAGCCCAACAGCAGTTACAGCAGCAGCCGCCGCCACAACGCCTTCCACCAAGTAAACCAAGACGCAAATAGAGCCCATGCAGCATGGCCTCCTCACACTCATCTCTTCCTCCTTTTTATTTGGCCTTTCTTTTCTGTTCCTTTACTTTCCTTTTTTATCTTACACTTAGTCCTCCTGAGATTTTATTCTGGTCCTCTTCTGTTGTTTCCAGTGCGCCATCTTATCTCCTGTATGTACTTACGTGTGTTTAGAGCAAGCACCCAACATTTACACTAGAACATTTTCCCTAACAGGTCTAACCGCCTTTCAGTAAACTCAAAAATAAAGACACAAGACAAGGCCATAAATATAAAAACTTAAAATAATTTTTTCTTTATTCAGAATAAATTGATGTAGAATTAATAAACGTTCAACTGTGATAAAGGTGCATAACCCTCACTCAATTCCACTCTCAAATTTCTCAAAACCAATAAACTCCCCAACAAATTTTCCCATAAGGGATCAAACTTATCATTGATCATGACTATTTAGTATTTATCTAACTTTTATTACAAAAAATCCCAGTAAATATATTTTGGCATTTTGATTTTTTTCTCTCTTTTTTTTAAAGTATTTTTTTAATTACTTTCTTTAAAAATCTAACAATCAGCTTTTTAAAATTTCCTTCACTGAGTTAGTTGTGCATGCTTGTACGCCACCCCCTTTCTGGACCCACAATGCACTCCGGGCTGACGCTGCGCACCCCTCTCGTCCGAGACACGCGAGGAAGGGTGAATGTGCACTGCGCACTGTGGCTGCATGCGATTCTCAGTCAAGCTGATCACCATGGTGAAAATGAACTGCGCTCTGAATCTCCATCTTGCTCCTCCCTTCTCACATCTTGAACTGCGATGCCGTGACCTTTTGTTTCCTGCTGTTGACCCTGCAAAACACAAACACATCCAGGCCAAAGGAGCCAGCTCTCGCTAAGGCACCAGAGACACAGCGTAGTTGGTGTGCTCACCATTCAGAGACCCCAGTCTGACTGGCTGCCTGCCCTGCCATCGACCCTGTCGGCCAAAGGGAGCAGAGCAGATGGCAGACTCCTGGGCCTCAGGAAGGCTGTGTCAGAGGAGAGGCCGCAGAACATCGGAGGTGAGAGTTTGCCCCAAGAGTCTCCCCTCCTCTGTCGTGTGACTGAAGCAATGAGGGAGCAAGGAGAGAAAGAGAGAGTGAAAGAAAGAGAGGATGCAGTACTACTAACGCACACCTGCAGAAAGAAAGAGGGCGATTCTTACAAGGTAGAGTGAGACAGGAAGGCAGAAAGAAAGTTGCACTCAGCCACATCACCAGATTCATGCAGCAAGACACGTTTCCATCTTGGTCACCCACAATTTTCACTCACTTAAAAAAACTGGTCTCAAATTTTCATATCCTTAAATGAAACAACATGGTGCTATTGAAGTCTGCAATCAGCCAGTGATAATGCATCAAGTGGCCTGAAATAAAGCAGTGGATCCTTTTCTGCACCACTTCCACGTCATTACTGATACCTCCTGTTTGAGAACAAAGGTCTAAGACATAAAACAATAAAACAGTAAGCATGTAAACCGTATTCATCAAAAGGGTACGTTTAAAAGTAATGTGAACCATTCCACATCCACAAGTAAAATTTGCATTGCTGAATAAAATTATTTTTCCCCTTTATAGATTTTTTTTCCAGTTTTGTTTTTTCTCACAAAGATATTTTGAGTGAACTAAATAAAAAATGTTTTCAAATGATAACATTAAGAAGGAAAAACAAACATCTGATGTAAGCTGACCATATGTGAAAATTATTTGCACCTTAATCTGATTGTGCTAAGTACAAACTGATGGCTGGATATTCTCCATCAGGATTTTTTATTTTTTTTGTTTTGACAGATTGTAATATTCATAGTTCTGTCATTTACAGTTTGTAAAACAACAAAGCAGCCCCAGGCCACAAACCTACCACTACCTCTGGGTCTGGTGGCAGTCAGATCTGGTTGTGTCTTATTAAATCAAACCAAAAAACAGTAAACTTATGCCTTAACAGGCCTGGTATGACTTTTATACATGCAGCTAGGTTGGATTGGATAGCTTTTTAACTCTTAATAAGTTCCATCATAATTGCTTTTTGTATTTACTCCAGATATCTTTGTTTGATTTTAGAGTTTGTATGATAATCGGGATTGATTTTGTGACAGAAAAGCCAGAACAGAAAAATCTGTAAAGGGGAAAGTTGTTTTCTACTGCGCTGTACAACAATAATATCTCCCACGGTTAGGTTGTGCACACATTCAGTATTTCAAACAGATAATTAACAATGAAAGTAGTACCTTTGTGCCTCTTGTGTGGTCTGCATCATCCTACATGTGGTATTTTTTTCTGTCTAAGCTATCACTGTTTTGTCTTTTTTCTGAGAGACACTTTAAATAAATGTGTCCACATGCTTCTTGCTTCTTCTTGATGTTTGCGTACAGTTCACTACTGTCTGGTTTTGTATTCCTTTTACTTCCTTTTTCTCCACAGCATAACAGATTGTTATTCACTTTGACAGATTTGCAGTGATGCAGATGTCAATCGATGCTTCTTAGCTCCAACATTTATTTTGGACAGAGCTAAGATGCGGTTTTGCCTTTCTCTCTGTGGTGATGGGTGTGCTTGTGTCCATGCACAGCTCGGTCGAGCTACAGATCAAGCGATGCTCCAGTTACTGCGGCCTCGTTGGACAGTGGCCTGAGCGGTAGTGCTTATAGCCTTTTGGATGAAGAAGGAGAGACGAATGAAGTGGACAGTGCCATCTTCCAGGTCCCTCGATTGTAAGTAGGCTTGGTCTCTTTATACATGTCAGAAAAGGCTTCAACTAAAATGCTCTCCTACCTGGCATCAAACGATTAGTGGTATCAAAGTACACCTAGATGTTACCTAACTTAAGATGACATCTTCGCTATTGAACCGACTATTTGTACTTTCTTAGTAAGAAGCGACAATATTCTGCTGGATCAGCACTTCTAAATACATTGTGTGCTTATTGTTTGAGCATCAAAATTAAAATGAGTAAGTAATGATAGAGATTTATGATTATAACCATGTATATTTTCAATTATTTGAGCTTCACTTTTAGTAACTCTTCTGTTTTAAATGTAATTACAAGTCATAGATTTTTGTATTAGTATCAATATAACGATATAGACACAAAAATGTCAATATCAACAAACTAAAACACTACTAGACAAACTAATACCAATATCTGGAGTTTTAAAAAGTAACAGGAATAATTTTAAATCCAGTTTATTCTAAAGATGAAAGTTCAGCCACCACAGTTTTGGCCATGTTTAAACTTGCCTGGGAAATAATGGCTTTGCAAAATGTAGTCAATGAATTCAGAAAGACACATGTCATGTTTGAAGGTAAATGTCAGGACCTTTGTCATTAAACTTGATCTCTGCTAAAAGTAGGTCACAAATCAATTGGCAACAATAAACACACATTCATTTTTTCAAAAGAATGCTGAGGGGGGAAAGAAGTCGGCTTTTGAGAAAAAGGCCAAGTCAAAACCTTGCCTTTTGTTTGATTGAAATGTGTAACTGCCTTGTTTAAGGTTTTGACTGGTTTTCGAACCATTAATAAACATAATGCACAAATAAATCATTTGTTTTCCTTTTCTTCTTTTCTTGTTTTTAGTGGGAAAATCCCAAATGGCACAGATGTGACGAAATCTTCAACAGGACACAATGATGGTGAAGGTTGTATAAGGCTACGTGTTGCTTTGTTAGCAATAAGTGCAGTAAATTCAGTGTACTGCATCTCACAGTGTCTACAATATCAGTTAATTAAAATGTCTTTTCATCAACCTTTTTAAGGAAAGCGATCACACATTTTGTGATTCTTCTTAACCATCTACATTTTATTTTTCACTGAGAAGAGACGCTTCTTTACATAACATCACATTGACAAATATGGGCTCTTTTGTCACACTTACTTGTTGCTTAGAGGCTAATCTAGTTTATTACACTAAAACCTACATTGCTGTTAAAAAGTGTTTGCCCCTTCTTGTATTTATTTTTATTTTTGCTTTTAGGCACACATAAATGTTTCAGATTAAAAAAAAAATGTTTGTACTGAATAAAGATAACCTGAGTAAATAAAAAAGGCAGTTTTCAAATGATGATTTAATTTATTAAAATTTAAAAAATGCTCCAAAGTAAATTAGTTCAGTAATTAAGGAGACAAAGTGGGCAGACAACATTTGTTATTTGCCAGAGTGACATCGATTTTTAGGTCACTTTAAGTGTATAAACAAAGATTTACTTTTTTTTGCACACGCTATTAATATTTCATTCCACAAGAGGGCGGCAGAGGAATGCAGAGAAAAGATCAGACTGCGTAGTGCATCAGCCAAGGACCCCCATTTTATGTATGATCACTTTATTTGTTTGTTTTTTAGGAAAGACTCAGGTGATGGGAGAGATCAAGATTGCTCTGAAGAGAGAGATGAGGACCGAGGGGGAGCATCTGGTCCTGGAGATTCTTCAGTGTCGCAACATCACCTACAAGTTTAAGACTCCAGACCACTTGCCTGGTAATCAAAACAGTCTGAGCAGCGTCATGTGATCATGTAGGTCTTCAAACATACCTGAAAGTCAGAAAACCCACGCAAACATCTGCTTGGCCTCTTAAATCCTTTCATATTTTACTGAGGCACAGCAGCTGTTGTTGCAATACTCTTATCAGCCTACCCTCATGTTTAGTGTACCTTTACTGTAGATAATTGCTTACATAAAACCATCCACAAACAAATTAGCTCCCCTATAGGGTTATACATCACATATTAGATATGGAATATGTATTTCTGCCTCATTATCAGCCCTAGTTTCCCGTAAAATTGGTCTAAATACGTAAAAAAATATTAGAGACTTAGAACACACTAAAAGCAATACAGTAAAAAAAATTTTAAAAGATGTTTCATATGTTTAAAACACAATATAGTTGACTTTTATTATTACGCATAGAACATGTTACATGTAATGTCATAGTGACAGTCTGACATATATAAACAGAGGACAAAATGTTTAAATTTTGCACATTTTGATTTTTCTCGGTTTCTATGCACAGATTGTCACTCAATCTAAGTGGCTTATTTTGCCATATTGGCTGTGGGTTCTGATGCTCAAGCCAGTTGTCATTTATTCGATTTGCATTCGCTTCCAGATGGGATCTGCAGATTGGCAGCCCTCTTTTCTTTGAGACTATAGGTGAACTGGTGCAAGCAGATGCACAGTGACTCATACCACTACCTCCTTATTGTGGTGACAGCTAAGTGTTGAGATATCTGTTGCCAATTAAGTTAGTCCTTTGAGTCTTTGCAGTAAATTTGCTTGAGGTTATTTTACAAGTGTCTGTAAAAGACTTCATACTGGCTTGCAACTTCTTTGAAGTAATTAAAACCTTTGCTTAATTAGAAGTTGTACATCCTGAAACTTTTATGTCTTCTGCATCTGACAGTCTCTGAATCTTGTGCACTGGACTTGTTTATGTCACTTCTTTTTTACGACAATGTCTGTCGGTCTCTACAGACCTTTATGTGAAGCTCTATGTGGTGAACATTGCCACCCAGAAAAGGATCATCAAGAAGAAGACCAGAGTGTGTCGTCATGACCGCGAGCCGTCCTTCAATGAAACTTTCCGCTTCTGCATGAACCCAACAGGACACTCACTACAGGTAACTCAACTGGAACCAAAACCTGAGTACCTGATTTAAGAATATTGACAATCGGGTAATAAATGTTCAGATCAATATGCCTTGCAAGATTGTTCAGGACATTGTTTGTTCTGAATACTGAATAGTCAATAAATGTGAAAGCAAACTGCATGTCAGTTGTGTCTGTTTCGCAAACTTGGAATTGGAGGAGAAATCTTGTCCTTTCTCCTCCAATTCACAGAAATTTGCTACTTCTTTGCTGGTCTGTCAGAAAAAAAGAATCAAATACACTGAAGTTCCAGGTTTTTATGTAGAAAAAATGTGGAAAGGACATTGAAAGAGTCTAAAAATTACCTCTTGCAGAGCTACTGAAGTACATGTTTTTCTTGAGAAAGTGAGATGTATTAACTTTTTTCTTCTTTTACAAGCTCTTTCTTGTGTCAAATGGAGGCAAGTTCATAAAGAAGACACTTATTGGAGAGGCTTACGTGTGGCTGGACAAAATGGACTTGCGCAAACGAGTTGTGGGCTGGCACAAGCTTCTCGCGAGCACGGCCCAGATCCACTCGTAGAGAGACACTGAGGACTTTAAAGCAAAAAACTGAAAAGATGAGGGGTTTGTGAAATCAGAGGGAACTTAACTGGGCATCTAAAAGACCGGTCCCGTTTGGCTGTTGGGATGAATGGCGGCTCTGGAACAAAAGGAGACCAAATCACTCCATCTCCAGCCTTTGTTTGGGACTTGTTTCGGATGACGCTCTCAGCACAGGGACCTTGGATTCACGTTTACATGAAAATGAACACGTTTACAGGGCGCGGGAGACACCGTAGTTTTTCCAAGGGAAGAGACAACAAACAGCAGGTGATGTGGCTCAGCAGAGGTCAAGATCAACCAGGTATTACGCATACTAATCCACAAACTCACACATGCACACAATTACTTTGCACAAAATCATTTCCACCCAGGAGGACCCTCAGCTGTAAAGGTACAGGGGAAAACAGGGAATTGACGCACTTGTAGATTTTAATTTATTCAGACGCTTTATCCAGCGGTGAGTCTTTTCATCGGCACCTTTTTCTCTTTTTCAGAATTGTATTGAATTTCAAAGCCTTTTAGAAATGAGACAAAGAAGGTTCTGCCACAGAAAAGCACTATTTATTTTTTTATTATATCAGTGTGAAATTCTATTGTTTGTCTCAGTTATTTATCAGATGTTTCAAAAATCCATGTTTGGATGGAAGCATATTTTCCAAAACACACTACCTACTTAGCATTCCAGATCAAGGAAGAAGAAAACCAAGCATGTTTTAGATTTTTTTTAGGTTTAATGAACAACTGTACTTTTCCTCCTTTGTTTTATCATATAGCTGAATTTGTTTGGTAAGGAATTATTATAAATATATACCAGATTGGATACTATACAGTATATTGTACGCATGAGTCTTTTTGGCATGCAGCACCACATGTTTTGCCACTTAAAAAAACACCTTTAAGGCTCACTCTGTAAATAGTGTCATAGTTAGAGATGAAAATATTTCAATAAATAGATATCTTTATCACAGACAATCATGTCTTGACGATTGTGACATAGAGGTTTTATTTATCCATGATGCCCCCGTAGAATGTGAGACGTCGACCACAGATTTCCTGCTTTGCTTTGTGAGAAGTGCTGAGAAAAAGGATTTGTTGTTTACATAATTCTTCTGTTTTTGTCGGACTTAAATGTTTCAAGACTTCAGCCTATTTTGAAATCAGACATATATAACGTCATGGAATAAAAAGAAGAGCTAATCTCAAATGATAATTTCATCTTTTTAAGGGAAAAATGGTTAGCCGAATCAACCAGGCGCTGCATGAAAATGTAAACTTATTGCAAGTCACAAATTTGAGCTACTCATATTTGCAGAATTATTGAAGTTAATCCACAATGAAGAGTTTGCAAGCATAAGTTAAATTTAAGGTTATGTCACATCAAGGCCACCTCATATTTCCTTTTTTTTTCATTCCATTTAGAAGTGGACCTGCTTGTATACTTTGGGCTATTGTTGTTTTGCTCTTTATGTTCTGGAGGCTAAGCTAACAAACTGTTGGTCAGATAAGTTCTATCAAGGTTTTTTGGTACAGAGCAGAATTTTAGGTTAAACAAAAACAAGTCATTAAAGTGCTACACAAACAAAGTAGCCGCAAACTTTGAGTCTACCACCATTATTTATGAAAATCAGTATGACGTTCTCTTTCTTAAATTCTGTCATTTTACACTGAACTGCAGGGATCTACACATCCAGTTTCAGTTTAGTCTCGTCACTTTTCAGAATATTTTTCTAATAGTCTTAGAGACCATGAAGATGTTTTTTTTGGAAAATGTTAGCAGGGCCTCCATGATATTTTTGGTCACAAGTGGTTTCAGCCTCTGAATTCTTCCATGAATACCATTTTTGCCATTTTATTATTGTTGGATCATGAACACATGAGGCTTGTAGTGCTGTAAGATGCTGTTCTGGGTTCTGTCTTGGATAAGTCATTGGAATAAATTTAGAATGGATATTAGAAAGGTTCACCCCTGTTCCCTCCAGTTGTGGATAATGGCTCTCACTGTGGTTCACTGGGGATCAGAAATGGCTTTGTAACCCTTTCCAAATAAATCAACATAAGTGTTGAACTGGTTTGGTTTAAGGCACTTTTTAAATCTACACATATGATAGTAATCAGTAAATGAAATCAACATTTGAAAATTGCAATTTGTATTTAACCACGTTACTTTTATGCAATATTTAAATATGTTTCATTATCCGAAACGTCCAAGAGTAACAAAGAAAGAAAAACCAGGAGAATTCTGTAGAGCAGCAGATGTTGTTTCTGCATCACTGTCATCGGTCTTGCTTCAGTTTGTAAGGGCGGCACTCTCAACAACACATGCTTATTGTGGTATTTTGCACTTTTTTTCCTGCTTAGAATGTAAAAAGTTGGCATCTTGCTAAATTTTCTTTACTGTGACAAAATAAAAGAAGTGCTAAAATGAGATAACAACACATGTGGGGTTACAACGATACATGTAAATGCACTACTGCCATCTTCACTGCTATAATGCTGTTTGTCTTCTTTTTTTTTAAATCAAAAATATCATCTATAATGTCCTCTATGTCCATTATATTTGAGAAAGATATGCTTTGTGGAAATTAAGAGGTAGTGCTACTGGTTCATCCAATATCATAAGCTAAAACAAGTAGTAAAACTTAACACCTGAGTAAATTCTATGCAACATCCGCTGTAAAAAGAGGGAAGGAACGGCATCTTAACTTGCCAGAAGTAAGTCACCGATTCCTAATTTGCACTGCTGCATCCTCCACAACTGGTTACTTGCTTTAATTTGGTTTCATTTTCTTTTGAACTTGTGATTTTTGTAACGCTGTACAGATGTTTACTTATTTATTGCCTGTGAGACAGTGTCATGTTAAGTTGAACTGCATTTGCTTACAGTACATATCAAGTGTACAGAAAACATTTTTTTTTACACAATGTAGAGCTTGTTTACAACGTCAGGAGGACCTGAAACTCAGAGATATTATGTTACGTCAAGAAATTCCTCGAAGCGAAAGAAAAAAAAAGTCAACGTTAAAAAAAAAACCTAAGAACTTGCCTCTTGTCTGCACCTACCTTTTAGTTAGTTTAATTTACGGTCAGCATATCAAAAATCAGCAAAGGAAAAGACTGTAAAAGATTGTAAGTAATGGACATTATACATGAAATGGTGGTTGTTTTAAGGTCTCTCTGTAAGCTTCTGTTTGTTTGTGTTCCGTATTTTTTTTTAGGTTGATATTTATGTGCCTGTGTGCGGCGAGCCATGTGGTCTCATCCTCATCCACGTCTCTTCTTTTCTCCGTTTCCACTCAAACACCTGCTGTAACTCATAACTGATTCCACATGTTCACACAGAGTTAAACAAAGATGCCATCTCCCTGTTTTTAGCATTGTAAATATATAGTTTAGTTTTTTTATACATGCATATAAATGACAGGGATTGGGGAATAAAAGATGTTTTAGTGGACATAATAAAGGGAAATGTATTTTCTCTTAAATGGTGTGCAGTGGATAGGCTGTTAAAAAAAAAAAGATGTTTTGTCTGCCTATAGGGACCCAGATTAACCAAACCCTTTACACAGAACACTACAAGGTTAACACAGTCTTAACACTGAAGTCTTATTGTGACAACTCGAGTTAGCCGCAGGAGAATTTAAATGTGCTCACTGGATGTTGCATGTTCTGTTGGTGGTTCATACTATTTTTGTGTCCAGATATTATTACAGAAAAACTGACATGAGAAAGAAGGTATCGAAAGATATGAAGCGAAAGTGTCATAGAGAGGGGGTAGAATAATAAAGAGAAGCTTAAATGAATGACGATGTATGCTGACTGTACAAAGATTTTGCTTGTAAAACCTGTCTGGTTTTTCACTTGTAAGTAAACAGAAAAAATAAATAAATTTACTGTGATGGTTTTGTGATTGTATACAGGAGGTATTGATAAATTATGCAAAATGTGCTGTAAAAATGGCTATTGCCCCATGTCTAAATATTAAATATCAGTATAAAACTTATATTCTATTGTGTATTCACTTATGACTCGATTAATTTTGTTTGTTTGTGTCTGTTTTTTCCTCATAGTTGTCCATAGTGCAGTGATGCTATTTGTTGGAATAGCATCAGTGAGATGCTTCTTCTTGCCATTTATTAGTCTTGACCTGTTTAAGATAAGTTTGTTCAGCTCCTCACCTAAGATATTTTCATCTACTTTCAGTGTGAATTTGCTTGGACTCCTCTTGTGTATTTTTTATAGCTGGACGTAAATTCTGTTTGGACTTTGAATCACTTAGAAGACTCGTAACTCGCAGCAATGATTTTTCTGAATGCAGATTCAGACGATGTTCACTCCCACTTCAACAGGTAGGAGTCAAAATCAAACTTAGTATCTTGAGGTTTGAAAAGGCATATTTTCAATTGCAAGTTTCTAATCATGTGCAGCTCAGTGCATATGTGTGATTTTAGCCATTCTTAGAGGAATCAAGTGTAGAGTGTCCTCATTTATTCCTCAGTAGAAATTGCACTCTTCATTACACAATGGAGGTTTTTAAAAGACTGTTTTGATTTAGAATTTCTTTGTATTTTTTAAAAAATAGACAAGTGTGTTACAAAACACATAGGGTGTCCTAATTCTTTTCACTTCTATGTTCCCTGTATGTATTGGACGTATCATCACATAACGTTACAGTTTGAATGTAGTAACAACATGTTTCCAGAAGGTGGCGCCATGCTGCTTTTTATTGTTGAGAAGTTGCTCCCAGGCACCCTGCAGCACAGGTGTTTGGCTGGTTGTGGCTGATCAGTCTTCTGCTCAGGAACGCGTGGGCGTCAACAGATGGGGGGTTTGTTACCAGCTCCTGCTGTAGCATCACTTATTCAAGCTTCACATGTTGTTTCAGCATCAGGTATGTGTATAGTTATGGGCTTATTGAAATATCATGAATGTTTTTTTTTTCATTTTTTATTTGTTTTTAGTGGTTTGTGTTGTTTTTTTTCTTCCTCCAGTTCTTTTCATGTTTTCATTTGTCAGGTTTTACAGCAACAATAAGTTATATCCTGATATAGTCATTGAGCACAAATGAAAAGCTTAAGATGTTAATTTTTTCTTGTGTAATGCATATAAATCACCAGTGTAGTCCTGATGGGCTCCACCTGTGGTACTTCTGCAGAGGCCTGTTAAAAAGCCATTCCTTTGATTAAGTCATGTTGGAACAGGGATATATATCTAAAAATATATATATCATATTCAGCATCACAGGACTGGCATTGGATACCTCTCAACAATTTATTTCCACAAATTAATACATATAAATTACAAAAATCAGCATACAGCAATTTTCTTTGGATGTAGATTATTCATTGGTACTGAAATATAAACTTAATTCTAAAAATGTGAGATCATAATTTCAAATATCAAAGTTGGACATTTCCCTAACCTTTCCTTTTAAGAATATTAGAATTTTTATCAGTCTGTGCAGCTTCTGTTTGACACTAGCATCTCATTTTGGTTGTCTGATTCGTTTTTTGCACAACTTCGTATATTATTTGTATGTAGCTGTGACAGAAAGCGCACCACCATTTCCATTGACCAAACCAATAGCACCCCAAAGAGCAGAGATTGAGAACCATGCGTTTAAACAGTTTATTTATTTTCAGACTTTTCTATAGTTTATGGAAGTAACCATTTGTGTGATCCTTAGAGAACACAAGTCTTTATACCACAGATCAAGAAGAATGTAATTGAAACAAGATTGGGAAATGGAGTAAGCTGATTTTATGAAAAATAAATCAACTTGGTTATAGTGACAGCAAGAGGAGCAACTAGATTCCAAGATTGTATGGTTGTTAGAATATGTGAGTACAATATCAAGAAAATGTATGGTCAAATTATCCAATCTGTAACTGATTTTATGTTTTCTTGAATGCGTCTTTTTGTCAGTGGTGAGGACTTTATCAAAGCCCAGCTGTCCCGCTCCATTAGATTGATTCTCTTTTTTTTCTGCCCTCCCTGTTGTCCTTCAAATCTATCATTACATTATCTTACTCTCCATAAATCCTCATCTGTGTCCTCCCTTTTTGTTTGTGAAAGATCTCTTAGATTCTTGAGCTATAAAGATGTGTATGCGCTCTTCTTCTGCCTTCAAAGATGTAGTTTGCGTCAGGCAGAGGCATTAAAATGTCTGGCTGTCATTCTGCTTCAGCAACTCGCTGAGAGAAGAGGATGATCAAAACGACAGGAATCTGGAGGGGCCACATCAGACAATGTCGCCGGCTGCATCATCTCATCTCAGGTTGAAGAGAGGTTAGATCTCTTTGCAGCGGCCAAAGAGGAGGTTTGTTTCATCGTTTTAAATTTTTTTCTTTTGAGAGCTTACTTTGACACAATAATTGCCTACATTCCACAATTTACAGGATAGATGGTAATTTGTACTTTTGGCCCAGGCCAAATGAAAGATGCCAACACACTGCCCTTATTTTTTATTTTTATGTAAAACATAAGAATAACTAAAGTAAAATGTTAATGCCAGGACAAAATTTCAATTTTGTATTTTTATTTGTAACAATATTCAAGCTGAAGATGACATCGTCTGCCTTAATTTTATATTAAAGTGACAGACCAAATTGTTGCCATCCGTTATCCCCCAAAACACTGAACTTTCATTTTACAATTTCAGAAAGATGTTGTATACTTATAAATAAGAGCCAGCACAACAAATAACTTCCAGACATTAACTTATCTGTAAATGGTTTACTTGTGTCTAATATAATCCAACTGATCTGTGAATATCTGGAATGTTTTTTTAGAAAACATTCCAGATTAAGTGTCATCATAAAGATTCTATGTATGCATGTACTCTTTTTGGATTTTGGAAATGCAATAAATTGTATTTGACTCATACGCTCTCTGTAATTGCGGTCGGGATTGCATGTTCCCCACGGACAACGCTTGACCATAATTTCCTGTTATTTTCCTTGAAATCACCACATGACCGCAATGTGTTGGCGATGATGAATCCTGGCAATGTTGATGGATGTTCAGTTCCTCCAGATAAGAGTCATGACAACTGAGTAGTCTAGATCAAAGCAAAATGACCAAATTAAGTCAAAATTGCGCAAAGATGGTAGGAACATGAGCTTGAACGACTTGGAGCTGTAACTTCCTCAAAACACTGTCCTGCAAATTATTAGGTGTGAGTTTTGAATAAACTTGCATGTTCACCTTTATTGATTATTTGTATAAAAACAAAAGCGATATTTGAAGTGAAACGGGCCAAAACATTTAATAAGTTTACAGAGAATAAAACATTTTCAAAGACACAGCAAAGTGCTTCATTTTAATTTATTTAAAGAGATAAATAATAAATGACATTACAGCAAAGTGACCATATTCCTATAACGGTGGGTGTCTAGTCTTTGATGGACATTTTGACAATCAATTGGCATCATGACACTCACTTATGCAGCTTTTTACTGCGAATGGAACAAGTTCTCTTGTAGTTCAAGAGCGGACATTTTGAGTGGCAAACTCAGTGAAATATCCCAGGCAGCAGAATCTCGAGAAAGAACCATAATCAAGGGATTACTTTCTGCACACACCAACTGGCTGCGGTTATGAAACCATCAACTGAAGCTGATCTAATTTGGTAACACCAGAACAGGTAATGAGAAGTCAAATACTGGGGCCCTGGAGGTATGGTTTTAAATGTGCCAACGTTTCCCAGTTCTTAATGAGTGTGGATGATGTCAAATAAATCATTCAAGGAAAACAAAATGAGCAACAGAAAGTTTACTGGACATTGTAATACCTACTGATAGTATCGGTAGCATATGAAGTAAAAAAGCCCACTATTGTGGAAAGTTAAAATCACATGATCTACTTCAAAGTGTTTGTAGCCTGCCTCTAGTTCAAGGGCCGTCACCCCCAAATTGGAAGCGTAGCAGGATTTTAAAATCTGCAGTCTCCAACCCAAAGAACAGTTAAGGATGCAGAGAACTCTAAATCTCGCAAACCAGAGCTTGAAAGGATACAGTACAGCTACGGCCTATAACATCAAATCTCTTCAGATCCCCCCCTGAGGGCAGCTCCCATCACTTGGTGCCTGTTTCACCCTGTGCTGCTTCTTCTCTGGGCCTTAACCTATCCTCCTGACAGAAAGGCTTTCACTAATAGTAATGTGATCAGTCAGTGCACAGAGTGTACAGAGACTGCCCTGTCCCAAGTGAGACATCATATCATATACATGGCTGCCATCATTTCAATTTGTTCTGAGGCAAGAAGGTGTAACCATTGCAACTATGGCCAAGAAGAAACTTGAAGTAGGTGCAACACATTTTAGATCCACTCAGATATTCATTTGAAGACATATTGCTGAAGAAACAAATGTAAACACATATTTACAGTCATTCTGGAGAAAAAGAAAAAAAGCTGTTGCTTATCTGTCTCATTTAAATTAGCCTTTCATTTACTTTAAAGAAAGCAAAATATATAAAATTTTTCTCAAGTTTGAAAGTCTTTGAAGTACAGCCACCTTCCTAATCCCTTCCAACTTACCTCATGATACGACTTCATTAGGTTGACAGGTTGTGCCTTCTATTGAAGGCTTGGTTTAAAAAGAACTAAAGCACAGCTGTACGAATCGTTATGCTCTTCCCTCAAGTTCCAACTTTCCTCTTTCACTTTTAGAATATGTATTGAGGAAGATATCCATCCAAGTCAACTCATGAAGCGATCGTACACATGTCCTATCATCTTGCCAAGAAGACACTGTGCGGGGGTGATGGTGATTAAAGTTTAAACTCGGAAGTCATTTGTTGCTGTGGTAACACAGTGGCCCAGTAGAATTGAATGAATCAATTAAGCTTGACGGCCTGTGGGGAAGCCAAGGGTGGAGAAGATTGGTAGTGCAGTTAGTACATGTGGTGCATTCGGTAAAATTGAATACATGGTTTTGTATGAATGCTCCCTTTTTGTTTTGTAGAAGACTCAGCAAAATGGAAATACCAATTTTATGGTGTGGCAGAGAATTTGACAAATAAAATAGCAACGTTTCAAGTTTTCTGACGGAGGTCAGACTTGACAGATCAGCTTAATCATGTTGAGTCACGTCTTGCAGTTTGAACTGCTCTCCAACGTCCATTTTCAGAGTATTGTGGTTGTGAATAAACAGCAGTAAAATCTCAAAGGTCAAAAATGAAGCCAATGGGCAAAGAAATGTCCCTTGTATTGTACATTTCAGCTTGACTTCTTTTGCTACAAAATACTCTGGTTCCAGAATAGATTCTTTGTGCTTTACATGGAGAATTTTATTGAAATTTGTATTTTAAAGTATACGTGGAGAAGAAATCACATATTCCAAGACGTTTGAAGATTTTTATCACCAACCAATGTTCCTTTTAGCGCCAGCAAAATGACGTGCATGCAACGTGAGCTTAGGCCCTGGAAAGAGTTTCTTGCAGAGACAGTGGAGTTTCTAAATTGTGGATCCAATTAGTGGTTGAGGACAGAAGGCCACAGTCTTTCCCTCTCCTCACCCCATACTTCACCGATGTTCCTAATGCTCTAAGAAAGCAGACAGGAGTGTCACATTTCATCACACACAAACACACGTTGACTTTACTTCTGCTGCAGCTTCTTTATTCTGGGAACATAACCTGCGGCCAACTGGACTTCACTGGTCAACAGGTTAAACTAAGAGTATCGTGGGCCATGTTACTGACATTCATGAAACCTTTAGAAATGTCCCCTGAATATTTTTCATTACTTTCTGTTGGCCAATCATTATGACCCAAAATATGTTTAGGTAATGATCGGAAAATAAAATAAAACTTGTGAAAAAAAAAACATTCTTTTTAAAAAATTTTTTAAAGAAAAATACAGTCTCAGGAAAGTGGAACAATTCCCAAAATCCAGTAGTTTATAGATTCAGTTTCAGGATCAGTTATCTAGTATTGCTTCTTATAAGACATTGTTTTTGTCTTTAAGATTATTAGGTACAATATTCAAGCTACTGTTCTTTACAGCAAAACTTGGGTACATTAAAGCAACGTGTTGCACTTTTTTTTTTTAATTCAGCTTCTTCTGAAAAATGTGAACAATCATGACTTTTTACTTATTGGTTAATGCTTTATAATAAAGAAATTATTTCTTGACAAATGTAAGTGAACTTTTTTTTTTCTTGCACACTTAAGTATTTTTAACTTCCTTTCCCTCTGCTGTTGCTCTTGAAATGCTTTCCTCCTCCTCTTAATCCCCTCCCCTTCCTGCCCAGCAAAAGATCCCTGAGGATCAGCTTTTGTCAGTTACAGTGAAACCTGAGAGGGGCAGCGTGAGCAGCTATTTGCACAGTAAATCTATTTAGGTGATTCAAATAACAGCGGGTGAGGAGCATTTTGCTCTGTTTGCCCGTCTCATTAAAATGCACCGCCAACATTTACTTACATACACATAAAAGTATAAACAAGTGATATTTACACAGAAAATAACTGGAATAATAGAGGAAATTGGTTTATAACAGGTGTTTGTAGATAACAGCATTTTAGTATTCACCTCAGTGTATTTCCCAGTAAAGGGAAAAGTCACTTCATATTAAGTTTGCCACAACCCTTGAAGCAAGTGGAATTACCACATTTCTGCATAAACAAAGGCCTTGCACTTGAGGCTAAGAGCTCATACAAAAAAATTAAATGAAGGCATGTAGTGACACAGTAAAATGGTGAACCGTTATTGGGTGAGAATTCTGAGACTTTCTTGAGACGCTCGATTGGATGACAAATGGACTGCTTTATAGGTCGAGGCCAGAAAGTGACGCAAGTGACCAGCAAAGTTGTCCTTGCCTGCAATGCCCAGCTTGCAATGCAGTCTTGCTGTCAAGGACGCAAAGAAACAAGGGTTAAGTAAAAACTATAAGGTAGACTGTATGGATAGGCATAACTAAAATCAACTTCTTCAGTGAGGATTATAGTAGTCTGTGTAAAGAATTTAAGATTAGGTTGATGGCAAGGAGGCCTTCCAATATCAAAGGCTTGGAGATCATAAGATAAATTGTCAAAATGTCAGTGGCAACATGGAAGAAGTTGTCGTGCAATATTAAGAACTTGATGGAAACATTTTACCCCAATGATATATTTTTTTCTTTTACATGCTAGTGGTATGAATAATTTTGGATTTAGCCGTGTGAGATTCAGATTAGTTTAATTTTCCTTCCAGTGTTTAGAAGTAGAAGCAAAAATAATCATTTTTTAACGTTGCCAAAAGACGCAGACACCAATCAATTATGCCATGTGGTCCCCATCTGGCAACTCCCGGAAACACCGAGAGCCAAGAATTACGCGTAGTTTTATTCTTTTTTTTCTTTGTGTTGGCTGCAAATTCATCTCACAAAGACGCACGCATATGCATGCATGTTAATGATAAACAGCATACATGCACTTTTTCTGTGTCTGACATCCCAGACTGGGATATTTCTTGCAGTGTGCGACTGGGCACCGATTTGTTGCTCCCTCCCCTTTTTTTTCTCTCTCTCTCTGTCTTTTTATTCTTTGACACAAGCTGTTGAACTGCTCTATAATAGCCTTTCACAACAAGTGTTGGGCACTTAACAGTTGGCTATCTCACGTCTGAACCTAAAAAAGCAAATCCCTCAACTCCACCGGTGGGAGGAGGATGAGGAGGAAGAGGAGGAGGAGGGAGTCGGATAGCGACCAGATTAGATTTGTTTCCAAACGCGCACCGATGGCGATGTGAGGCGTTTGGATGAGGAGGAGGTCGCTGCTTTGGATTGGTGATCAGTTTTGTTTTTGTTTGCGCATCTTTCTCCCTCATCTCGGGTCGTGCAAAGACAAAAGCCATGGATTACTCTCTTTGCACGTTGCTGCTTCTGACGACTCTTTCGTCGGTTTCGCCCGGACAATTCCCAACATCCCAGATGTGAGTACAGCTTCAAACAGCCTGTTGGCTTCCCAAACTCCCCGGCAGTTATTTCTGTCGGAGCGCTTGCTTGTGTGAAACCGTAACACTCCCCCCCCCCGCTACTAGTCTGAGCAAAGGAAGGGAAAGTTTATATAAAGTCAAATTTGACTTAATGAAACATGTTTTAGTTGTTCTTACTATAAGCTTGCAGCGCTGTGACGTGCGTCTTGCTGTCTTCATCCTGGAAAGATGATTAAAGTTCAATGTCTTAAAAGTTTTCCAGTTGCACCTTTAAAGAGACTTTTGTTCTGAATTTAAGTTATATGAAGTCAAGTACAGAGTTGAGCTACTTTTAGCATCATTTATTGGCAATATTTAGCTTTCTTGTGGTTTTGTTTCTCATATAAATAAATACATGGGGCGGGGTCTTGAGGATGTTAAAAAAAAATCAACCAAATGTTTTTATAAGCATATATATATATATATAGTAAAACAACTAACTATACTTTTAATTACAAATAAATGGCCAAGTCATGCCATTTGTTAGTTGATGTCACAAGTTTAATTATCTGTCATTTTGGTATCCAGAATATGAATAGTTTAGAAACTACTGCTGTGAAACATGGGTTAAGAATAGAACGTGTTAAGCTTTTCACGTCAGAGTAATCCCATAGAAAACTATTATAAAAATCTAAATGTTTGCTTAAACAGCATGAGGATTTTTTGGGATTAAGATTTTTAGTTTGCTTTGGTTCCTTCCTCTCTCAGACAAGCTTCAGCCTCTACAATCATCTGATCTGGTTTTATTCTAATTAAAGGTACAAGTTGTCTTCTGCAGGTTTATTAGCTGCTTCTATTTATTATTTTTTTAGAATGGCATCTTTTAGTTTAAAACTAGATTAGTTGCCTAGCTGCCTCTTATTATTTGTTTAATACTGATAAAATGACGAGCCTAGGCATCACCAAATCAGGCCAGACTCAAATGTTTCATGTTTTTCTTTTCGTTTTTGAAGGCTGTTATGAAACGTTTACAAATTCAGTTACACTGGGTAGTTATGTGGAGATGTCAATTACATCTATAATAAAAGAAGCTGGGAATTGATTCATTATTAATGTCCTTATGTAAAAAGTAAAGAGAAAAGATAAAGTTAAGAGCTTTTGGGCATAGTAACTGCTAAGGTAACTGGAGTTAAAAAAGAAAAACAATATTGCTGGACACATGGAAGTTTTGAGAATTGTTCTTGTTTTTTCTTCTATTGTTGACTTGAATTGCTTCACAAGTTCCATCTCGACTGCATGTTGGAAGAAGATCATCGGTGACCAACAATCCTCCTGCTTTCATTTCAATCTAAATAATTTTTGGCTGCTACATATGTAACCCTTTAGTGCATACTATAACTTTAGACAAAAAGTTAATTCAATGTCATTCAAGTTAAGAGTGTAGAATCTAATTTTAGAAATCCTAAATTTTGTTTTAGAGTTATCTAAATATAATTTGAGTCAATGTGCAGCTGTTGAACTCTTTCAATTTTGACCTTGCTTTATTGTTTTTATATCTCTAAGTGACATAATCCTAACCAAATGTTTGTAAGTAGACCCTTGCAGGTTGTTTTATTCATTGCTTCAGACCACTCAGCTTTGCTCCCAGTCATGAGGTGAAATGATGTAATTTGCTCTGCAGAACGTAAATTTGTGTTATGAACTCATAGCATGAGGCGGAGATATTGCGGGAGGAGGCGAGGTGTCTCTTGCCCTTGTCTAAATTTGACTTCTGACCTGGATATCGCTGGTACTAATTCAACCTTTACTCTTCATGCAGCACTTCACTGTTAATCAACAGGTTGACAACAATCCTATGGTTCAAGGGAGCCTGGGCAAAACAAGATTGGTCTTGAATGCAGCCCAAGTCTGCTCTCAGAGAGGTGGTGAGCCATGAGCCATGATGGCACTTAGCCTAATGGCTGGGAGCGATGATGTCACACTTTGAGTCGCCTACCCACTCCCTATATTTTATGGGCACTAAGTGGATTGATCTGTGGGCTGTGTACATGATGTTCACACAGGGAGCTGCACAACCAGATGCAAGTGATTACTTAAAATGGGGAAAGGTCAGCTCAGGAGACAGGATTCAAAGTATAAACAAAGCATTGTTATATTGTTGTTATATATATTCATAGTTTAGTTGTGTTGCAATTTGCCTTTTTTTTCAGAGTGGGATGAGTTGGGTTTTCCTTTGGATTGTCATGTTTAGATTAACAACCTTTGTCTTGATTGCTCAAGGAAGAAATCACTAAGAACATCAAATGATAAGGACAAAGTTGGAGAGATTGAATTATGTCTGTCTTTTCTTTTTGACCTTTTCTTCTTACTATCTTTCTCATGGGTTAATGTTTCCTCTTTCTGTCCATCCTCTTTCTACCCAGCTCACTTATTTATCTTTTTATCTTTTTTGTCTCCTTGGAGTTGGCATTAAACCTACTTTTGTCTGAGTGACACAAATGTTAACCTGTAGTAATTTCCTCTGGATCCCAGACACTTGGTGTTAATACTGTTGTCTGTAGTCCCATTGTTACACCCAATATAAAATGACGCAACAAACAGAAACTCTCCATTATGCATACAATTGTGACTTTAATCTGCCATGTAGCAATCACAGAATGATTATGAGTCAACATTTTACAATTGACTTGCAACAAAGAAAACTTATTAATACTTTGTATGTGCTTTATGTAACTAGTGCAAGAAGATTTGAACCAGAAAATGTGCCTGCGTCTCTGGAAAATCATGCTGGCGACAGTCACACGGTCCAACACATTGGTAGTTTTTTTTTTTTTTTTTTGCTATTTATACATATTAGTTTTGATTCTACTACTCAAAGTGCCTCAGGCAAGTCTTCTTGATTAAATAACATCTTGGGCTGTTGAATATTTCTGCATCTTCCAAGAGACAATGTCTCATCTAGTAAAATACCCAAGAAAAGAAAGTTGTAAGAAATAATTTTCCTTCATTTTCCGTGTCATCTTTGAAAATAGCAGTGGTAGCCGAGTGACGTTTGGGGTGGATTATATCAACTGTAACAAGTAACAGATGAAAAACTGTGGTCTTGAGTTCTTTTAACTGTGATTTGTAAGCTTTTATGTTTCAGCTTGTTTGCTTATACATTATCTTTTCGACTTTGATTCTCAACATTCTGTCTTTTTTTCACTTCCTTTTGGCCCATTCTTTCTAAATTTAGAAAGGCCCTACTCGAATGAAAGAAAGAAGCCAAAGGTCTTGCTCAAATATTAGGGTAAAGCAAAAATGACTGGAGTGCAAAGTGGCAGAAGGCTTTGCAGAAATGTGAATGCTCAGATTCCTGTCAATTTTGTGATCTCTACCTATACATAGAATCCAGATTAAGTTTCCTGTCCCACGTTTCTGAAGAGACTGGCATGTCTGTAAACAAGAAATCGCAGGGAGCAACTCCAGTGCAGCTTTATTGCGTTAACAATCTTTTGCCACATGGAAATTCCCAAGAATTTTCCATTACACTGTTTCCCAGGCAACCTTGGGAATAGCTAGCAGCTGTTTTTTCATGGAAGCTTAGTTTGCTGCAGCAACTAGATGCTTACAGAGACTCGCAGTGTGAGTCTCTTTTAAGTTAGCTTGTAAGCTTTTTTTCATAGTTATGTTACAGAGAAAGATGTCTGCATAATCAAGCGCTAAACCCATACAGTAGTTGACTTCATTAAATGCAGCACAGAGTCAGTGGAGTGGGCTGCGTGTGTCTGGGAGTTGGATTGGAAAATATGACTGAAAATATTCTGTATATTTTTAGACATTAACATGATATGTGATCTGTAAATGACAAACACCCTGTTGAGGCCAGTCACTCCCGTCCTTCCAACTGCTGAGTTTACAAAAGCTTGATGTGATGAATTGGCTAAATATTAAATTTAACAACCAGAACTTGACCCTGAATCATATTGTACATGATGTACTTAGCCATTTATATACGGTGAAGATGGCACAGTGACATTCAAAATGAACATCAAAGAAATGAAAATAGGAAGACTTTGTGACTTTCTTGTTGACGTCGTGCTACTTTTGTTAATGGCTGCAAAACATTGTTTGTTTTTGCCATCACTGAATAGCAGTTTAACAAAACACACTGAGCTCAAACTAAAGAGCAGAAGTTATATGTTGCATCCAATGGTGAATTATGTCTCTTGTTCTTCTCTCTCAAAAGATTCTTCTCTTTCAAATGTCTCAGACATTTGTATCCCAAACAGAAAGAAAGCAAGTTTTGTTAAGTACGCTAAAAGAGCACTTTAAAAGTCATGTACTGCTCAATTTGTTGTTCCTTACTGTCTACTGTGATCATGTTCTTGCAGGATCCTTGCAGAGTTCTCAAGTCTGTTGTAAAAAGTAGGTAATATTGCAACAAGTGGAGTATGTACAAGGCTGGATTAGAGCCTGGTAGTTAGACTTGCAATATGAAAGTTTCAGAGAACAAATACGTCTGTAAATGCAAATAGTTAAGTAGTCATAGTACCAAATGACAAGATTTCTAGATGCAGAAATCACCTCCGGTGAGAAACCACAGAACATCCGTTTCTTGAAGAATCATAGACAAAGTGGTTCTATGATAATATTTGACTTGTTTCGAGTCTCTTAACAGAATTGTATTGAGATGCAAGAACTGACCAGTGTTGCGACCTCACTGGACACTATAGCTGGTCCTCAGTGACAGGAGTCCGCCTGAGTAGGCGAGTAGACTGATGTTAATTGGACATATCGGCCAGGGGGTTGTTGGGGATGGGCCTGAACTGTCTATACTTACACATCCGTCAGAGATTGTCTGTCTGCTGTAAAGCTGAAGGGTAGTTTTGAAGTATGGATGGATGAGTAGGGAGTTGCTCAGGAAGTGTGAAGGTGACAGGGATGATGAGGTTTAGTCATCAAAGCAGAGGCCATGAAGAAGAGGCAGAGACAGTCTGAGGGGTGGGCAATGGAAAATAAGCTATAAACAGTTAGCA